TCGGTTGAATAAAGGCTGAAATCGAGTTACAAATATGCGACTTTTTTTTCAATTTCTCAGAAACTATTAAACCGATTTCGCATAAATTTTGTATATTTGTTATGCAAAATTAGATACATTAAAATGGTGTAAGCAATTGTATACCTTACAATTCAAAATTTTTCCACTATAATTAAATAAAGTAATAAAAAATTATAAATATTTGATAAAATTTATTTTTTGTATGGAATAATTTTTGGATAAACGAAATTTATATTTGAGTGCAAAAATTTTTTAATTCACTTAAAAATTTCTCGGGATATAGCAAAATGCGCAAAAAGTAAAATTAACATTATGGGGTCAAAACTTTGGACTGCTCTTCTGACCAAACTATTAGGATCATATTTCCCAAATTGCGGCTAATTGCGGTGGTCATTTTTTTGGCGCACTGTACATTATTAATTCTTGTATCACATTGTTTTAAATGCATTACCAATTATTTTATTGTCAGTTTTATTTTATAAATAAGTCAATTCTATATTTACGCTATTCAGTTATTCTTATAGTGCTAGAATCTTTATTTTCCTCACTAAAATATCGTTGTTAGTATATATCTTACCGTTAAAGTATGAAATCCGTTATTTTATAGAATACCTAGTTATTCCATGAAATAACTGATCGTATCCGTTAAAGTGTGAAACTCTCTTGCATTTCAGGGTTTAACTAGTTATTTCCTAGAATAACGATCTGCGGCCCGTTAAAGTGTAAAATAATCTACATGCTACAGCTCAAAGTTTAGGTACTGGTCAGGGATTTAAAAAATGTTCGTGTAAAACCCAGTGTGTCAACAAATTTTTTTTTTATTTTAGAAATAATATTCTTTGTAATTGTAGTGCCATTTTAGTAATCCTTGTTGTAATAAATAATTTTATGGTACGTTTCCATAAATACCATTTATAAGCTGCATGAATTAGATAAATTGCTTCTTTATCATTTTAATTGTCTATCATTAGTTTATTTATAGAATACCTAGTTATTTCATTTTAGATAAATTGTTTATTTTACACTTTAACTGTCTCTCATTAGTTAATTTATAGAATACCTAGTTATTTCATAGAATAACTAGTTAAAGTGTCAAATTAATAACATATTACTCACTTTAACGGACACGATCAGTTATTTCATGGAATAACTAGGTATTCTATGAAATAACTGCATTATATACTTTAACGGTAACATATATAATGTTTATGGCGAAGTAAAATAACAATAAAAAATATTTTGTTCCAGGGTGTTGATTGTTCCAGGGTGTTGATTGTTGTTTTAAGTAAATTGCCAAAAAGATTACTGTCAGTTTTAACCCCTTAACTGCCGAGTAAAATTAACGTGATTCACTCCCCAGTGCCACCGTTTTTCGCTCAAGTGCACTTTCTTACGCGGTGTTTTGGTGGGGGAAAATGATGCACGCTTTGCAATTTAAAAACAGTTTAATTTTACAAGACTAGAAAAAAGGATAGAAAGAAAATAAAAAATTTAAATTAAATAATAAAAATACAATATAAAAGATGTTAAAACTTAGCTATTGTATGATAAATCCTGAAACATGGTTGGACACATAAACCAACACCACATTCATCGCACTGATAAAGGGATTCTCGACGAATTTTTTTTTCTTGAACAAGCAGCATATTTCACGATGCAATTTTCTTTGAAGACGTTGATGGAAAGAATAAAAAGCACCAAATACATACGGGAAACAAAAGAACAAACCCGACCTTACTCAAATAAATACACACAAGCGATTAATACGATATCACTTTTCCATAACATCCTTTTCCCATTTCCCCTCCTCCGAAATTAGTAATACATATGCAAAGCAAACGCTTTCAAGGCCATTTTACTGCATTCGGAAGTAGGGGTGTAGTTCTATTTATAGCAGCGCAATGCAAAGCATCGTACTTCGGGAAAGCGTATATATACGCCTGCGGCAGTTAACGCATCGTCTTGCCGAAACGTATATATACGCCCGCGGCAGTTAAGGGGTTAAAATGCAAATTAGTTCAAAACTCATATCAGTTTTCCAACACTTCTTATTTTTATCCCTACTAGTGAAGAGAATGACGCCCAGTGGCTGAGCGGTAGCGCTTCGCGCTGTCGTGCCACAGGTCCCTGGTTCGATCCTCGGGCCGGGCAAGGTAGACTCAGCCTTTCATCCCTTCAGTGGGTCGATAAATGAGTACCAAGCATACTTGGGAACTAAACACTGGGGGGTTCCGCGTTCGGCTGACCACCTGACCGGAACATCTGCTCCTGCATGCCAGAGCCCAAGGTCAAGAAAACTGAGATGGGCACAGTAGGCCTTGGCCCTCTATGGGCTGTCGCGCCACTGAGTTTAGTTTTAGTGATCAGAATACGGTGATCTTTGTGTTACTGTTATCTAATATTCTTTTAAAATTCTAGTCCTTTCTTAGTCTGCGCAGACACTATACATTGTAGATATTTGTGGCATAGGTATGCATTGATTTATTTATCATCGGCCAGAAAAATCGACACACTATAAATTTGAATCTTACTTTGAATGTTTCCCATTGATCGTCTATTGGAGGATCAAAATGAATGAAGCTTGCTGTTGCTACAGCGGCGAAAAGAAACAGGACAATAAATTTCATGATGATTCTAAAAAGAAAAAAATCAGTCAGTTAAAAAATTAAGAAATTTTTTTAAAACTTACTACCATAGAAGTCAAGCAAAATTATTGTGGTTTATATTAAAGCTCTAAAACTTAAAAAAATCTTATAAAAAAACTTAAAAACTTAAAAATCATATTACTTGATTAAAAACTTCATTCACTTCAAAAATATACAAATTGGAAATAACAGTCAACTTATTTTAAGCGATCAACAATTGGCGTCCAATTTTAAGACATATCAGACGTGAATGAGAAGAAACAAAAGTGATTTGAAATTAGAGTTGCCAACGAAAAATGAGAAAAATAAAGGTGTGAGAAGTAAAACTAAAAAAATCACAGTAGCCGAGAGAGAAATATTTTCTCCCTCGTTGATATATATAATGAAAACGAATCTGAAATATTTTCATAAAAATATTTTCTCTACTGTGGATTTTCTAGTTTTATTTCTCACCTTTATTTTTCCGTTTTTCGTTGGCAACTTCACGTTTCGTTTCAAATGACTTCTGTTTCTTCATTCACGTCTGATAAGTCTTGAAAATAGGTGCCTATTTTTGAGAGCTTGAAACATGTCGAATGTTACTTCCAACCTTTGAAGAGAATGAAGATTTCAATCAAGTAGCATCCTACAGCTTCAGTTTCTTGAGATAATTTATTTTATACAAATAATATTTTGAAATTTTGTTGAACAAGTCGAGATTTCGGTTATTTATTGTTTTTAATTATCTGGTTGTGTTTTCATGGTCACATTAGAACTGTAGCGTATCTACCACTACAAAGGATTTTTCCCAGGATTCTTTTGTATTTAAATAAAACTCATACTTTCATGGTACTGTTCTGTTTATAAATGTTTCATGAAAATTAGATTCATTAACATGCTTACTTGGTCCTTAACTGGCGTCACCAATCCTTGAGCTCTCCAATCAACTTTATCAGGAATATATACATTGAAAGGTTCAACCCAATTAGACCCGCTGCTGCTTTGAAGATCAGCACTTTTTAATCCTTTGAGAAACTCTGCAATCTCATTGCTGCTCTACAATCAAGAGAAAACTGAGAAATAGTTATTTTTTATGTATTTAGTTTTTCACGTACTTTTTATCATTGAAATAATATCAAATGCGAAATTGAATAAACATTAAAAAGAAGAGAAAGAAAACTTTGACTAGTTCTAAATAGTTCATTTAAAAAGTATTCAATGTTAGTTAAATTAAGAGTATATGGAAAAACGAATTCCGGTAAAATTACCATACTGTATAGTAATGACAGTTTTGCTGGAAAGAATCGTAATTCGGATTAATAAAACCAAACTTTACGGTATAAATACCATTCATTTGGTAAATTTCTATTCGTATAGTTATGGTTTTTTCGGAAATTCTGGTATTTAAAATTATAGTTCCTAACACTACACATTTATTAAAAAATGTGTAATTGTAGTAAATTTCACTAAATAAATGGTTTTAATGCCTGAGATATCATGATAAAATTACAAAATTTTTACCACAATTAGCAAATTTTATCGCATATGATTAAACCATATTTTATTGTTAATTTTACCAAAATCAATAAAAAGTACTTCGGTAAGAATTACTAAGCATTTTAATGCTCTCATAAAGACAGAAACACGCTAAATTTCACCATATTACGGTAGTTTTTACCATACTTTTTTTCTCAGAGTAAAATTGATTTAATTTTCCTTTAGAAATATATTGACCACAGAACAAATTAAAATATATAATATTTGATACCTATTAAAAAAAAAGAATTATTCTTATTTGAAAATTAAAAAATCTTTATCTGCTTCATAAGTTTTTGTATCAAATAAAATTTCGTTCTGTCGATATTATAGTCTTAAAAAAATTAGACTTTTACTTAATAGATTCTTAGTATCCTAACTTGGTGCATACTAAAATTATTCTGCATATCATTAAAAGGAAGTATTATATCATTAATACTTTTTAAGTGAACTATAACAAAATATTTATTACCTAGTAATTCTACAGTGATTTATTAAAATGCAATATTAACGATCATAAAACAGCTGTTATTTCTTGTGGGAAACTTCCCTGTAGCTGATATAATCTTGAACAAAGATTAGGCGACGTTGATATTTAGTATTTGCCACGAGTCGATACGATAATTCAATATATTTGTTTACGATAATTCAATATATTTGCAAAACAAAAGCTCAACCGAAAAAGGAAACAATCAAAATGTGTTATCAACGTCTTCTAGCTTCTGTGAAATAAAATAACGAATTTGGAGATATAATCGAATCTATTAATAATTAATGAGATTGCCTTTAAAATTTTCCTCATGAAGTGTGCTAAAACAGATGGTTCAATAAAGTGATTATAATTTATTAATATTTAACAGCCTTTACATTTTTCTTATTTAGCATTTATTTGTGAACTCCACTGTCGAATCATCATCATGTTTGACTGGACAACCCAGTGTGAGCCAATGCCTTCTTCTGAATTCTGCTCCACTGCATTCTATTTTTGACTTTTGTTGACCAGTATATTTCCGGTATAGCAAGGAAGTCAGTTTCCACTAACTTCATCCATCTCAATCTGTGTCTACCCCTTTTTCTGCTCGTTTGAGGTTCATTAGAAAGAATTACTTTAATGTGAAATCATCATTCATTCTAAGACTTGTCCACTTCATCCGGTTAATTTTTTATCAAGTTTGCAACGCCTGGCCAGTTCTAGATTTTATATATTTGTATTTTTCTTTAAACATCGTTGATTTCTACCCCCACCAAGCAGCTCGTGATACTTTTCTCTCAAAAATGGCAATTTTACTTTCTCTGATTTCGGACAGGTTCTAAGTTTCTGAGACAAGGGTAAGTATGCGTTTGATTATTGTTTTACATAGTTTACTATATAAGACAATAATTGGACCAATACTTACCTATCGTTCAGTATTGGTCTAATCAATTTATAAAAAATTTATTAAATCTTGAGAGAAATCAAATAGTAGTAATATTGAATTAGTTTATAAGAAAGATATTTCAATATTGATGCAATCATAAATTTCTTAAAAAGTTTCAATTTTTTTTTCAAATTTCAATTTTTTTTAAAACAAAGAAAGCTGTACAATTGCATAGTATCAAAGGAGTCATATCGAAACAAATTGAGATTTGTTTCAATGTGACATAGATAACAAATTGCAATTGTTTATATAAAAAAATATAATTCCTACTCATTGCATTTCATAGTTTTTAAAAGAAAATATGAAAAAATTTCGAATATTGAGTATTGTGAGATAGTAATTACTAAACGTACCAAATCTGAATATTTGTTAATGCCTTTTCTATACGTGTAGAAACCCATATCAGCGAGGTGATTGTGGTATTCAACTTCGACAATGTTTTTTTCCCAGATCGATCTTCGTGTCAGTTCTTCGCCGTCATGATAAACTTTTCCAAAAGTTTTCTGGAAAAAAAAAGATTTTGAAATGAAATATTATTTAAAGTTTATTTAATAAAAATATTAATTAATAAAAAATAAAAATAAATATATAAAACTCGATGTAGGGATTAAATCAGAAAAAGCGCTTTGATAAAAAGATAGATCTCTGTATTAAAAAATCGCAAACATCACCTCTAATTTTGATGTTCAATTTAACACTACATTTTGTTTCGATGCACAAAACTTCTAAAGCCTGACATTTGAAATTACATAAGTGAGCAGAAAATCACACAGGGAGTGAATGAAATAAAAAAATTAACAATCAATCATTTATTTGAGAATTATTAACAGTTAAACTTGGAAAAAAGCATGAGGACCGTTTTGCTGGCTTCAGCAATGTAATTTCAGAATTGTAACGTGATGTGCTCAAAGGGTTATTTTTGCTCATGAACTTAATGCGGCTTAGTTATTATAATTTTAAATACTTTTTTGCCTGCCTTTTTTATTTAACTTTGTTTTGCTGCGCGAAAACTATGAAACTTGAAATTACCATGTCGTGTAGAAAAAAATGCAAGGAGTAAGATGGAATTAAAAAAAATAGTACGTGGAGTCCCTCCGCGCGGAAGAAGTTAAACTTCGCAACCTGCGACGTTAATTGTAGAAGAATCAGCAGTCGTAGAAGGATCACTAGCTCTATTCAACGACTCTTTTTCCTGCTCCGCTCGCTTCCGTTCTCTGTAATAACGGTAATATTGTGCATTTTTCAATCTTGAACCAGTGGAAGTGCTTGTGGTTGCCTCATCGTCTCTCCCTGGAAAATCTATTTGCATTAATAATGTATGTGTCATAATGTAATTTCGGAAAAGAAACAGTCAATTGATATTCACAAGAGAATCGGTTGAATAAAGGCTGAAATCGAGTTATAACTATGCGACTTTTTTTAAAATTCGATTTCTCAGAGACTATTCAACCAATTTCGTTCAAATTTTGTATATTTGTTATGGAAAGTTGGATACATTAAAATGATGTAAACAATTGTATCCCTTACTATTCAAAATTTTTTCGACTATTATTAAATGAAATAATAAAAAATTATAAATATTTACTAAAATTTATTTTTTTGCATGGAATCACTTTTAGATAAACGAAATTTATATTTGAGTGCAAAAATTTTCCAATTCACTTAAAAATTTCTCGAGATATAGCAAAATGCGCAAAAAGTAAAATTAAGATTAGGGGGCCAAAACTTTGGACTGCTATCCTGACCAAATTATTAGGGCCATACTTCCCAAATTGCGGTGGCCATTTTTTTGGCGCACTGTACATTTTTTATTTTTGTATCACATTGTTTTAAATTTATTATCAATTATTTTATTGCCTGTTTTATTTTACAAATAAGTTAATTCTGTATTTACACTATTTAGGAATTCTTATATTGTTAGAATCTTTATTTTCTTCACTAAAATGTCTTTGTTAGCATATATAATGCTTATGATGAAGTAAAATAACAATAAAAAATGTGTTGTTCTAGGGTATTAATTTTTGTTTTATGTTGTATTAAGTACATTACCTAAAAGATTACTGTCAGTTTTCAAATGCAAATGAGTTCAAAAGTCATATCAGTTTTCTAACGCTTCTTATTTTTATCCCTTACTGACTAGTGATCAGAATACGGTGATCTTTGTGATACTGTTATCTAATATCATTTTAAAATTCTAGTCCTTTTTTAGTCTGCTCAGACACTATGCATTGTAGATAATTGGGGAATGCGTACGCAATGATTTATTTATCATCAGCCAGATAAATAGACACACTATATATTTGAATCTTACTTTGAATGTTTCCCATTGATCGTCTATTGGAGGATCAAAATGAATGAAGCTTGCTGTTGCTACAGAGGCAAAAAGCAACAGGGCAATAAATTTCATGATGATTCTAAAAAGAAAAATTCAGTTAGTTAGAAAATTAAGAAATTTTTTTTAAAATTTACTCCCAAAGAAGTCAAGCAAAATTATTGTGATTATATTAAAACTCTAAAACGCAAAAAAAAATTGAGTTATTGTAATAGTAGGACAGAATTCTTTTTAACAACTAGTTTAATTAGTTTACTTTTAATTACTTTACTTTTAATTAATTTACTTTTAAGTACTTTGCTTTTATCAACTCACTTTAAAAAAGTACATATCATATTACTTGATTAAAAACTTCATTCGCTTCAAAAATCTACAAATAGGAAATAACAGTCAACTTGTTTTAAGCACTCAACAGTAGGCGCCCAATTTCAAGACTTATCAGACGTGAATGAGAAGAAACAAAAGTGATTTGAAATTAAAGTTGCCGACGAAAAATGAGAAAATAAAGGTGAGAAGTAAAACTAGAAAAACCACAGTAGCCGAGAGAGAAATATTTTCTCTCTCGTTGATATATATATAATGAAAATAAATCTGAAATATTGTGAAAAAATATTTTCTCTTCTCTCTACTGTGGTTTTTCTAGTTTTATTGAATAAATAAAGGAAGACTAGAAAAACCACAGTAGCCGAGAGAGAAATATTTTCTTTCTCGATGATATATATATAATGAAAATAAATCTGAAATATTGCGAAAAAAATATTTTCTCTTCTCTCTACTGTGTTTATTTAGTTTTATTAATAAATAAAGTTAGTTTTATTGAATAAATAAAGGAAGACTAGAAAAACCACAGTAGCCGAGAGAGAAATATATATAATGAAAATATATCTGAAATATTGTGAAAAATATTTTCTCTTTCTCTCTACTGTGGTTTTTCTAGTTTTATTTCCCACCTTTATTTTCCTATTTTTCGTTGGTAACTTCACGTATCATTTCAAATTACTTTTATTCTTCATTCACGTTTGATAAGTCTTGAAAATGGGTGCCTATTTTTGAGTGCTTGAAACATGTCGAATGTTACTTCCGACTCGTATATTTTTGAAACGAATGAAAATTTTAATCAAGTAACATCCTACCACTTCAGTTTCTTGAGATAATTAATTTTATGCTTATCATATTTTGAAATTTTGTTGAACAAGGCAAGATTTCGGTTATTTATAGTTTATTTTTGTTTGTGTTTTCATGGTAGCATTTGAATCATTGGATAGTCAACAAAAATGTCCAACTAAAGTCATAAAACGGCGTGTACTTAAATTTGAAACGTTTTCATAAATAATTCTATCTATTGAAACTATTCATAAGTACATATACTGATACGAGATCGTGATTTTGTAACATTTTCAAATGATTTTCATTAAACACAAAAAAAAATTCGCATTAACCACACGAAAAAAGCTAAATTTGAAATAAATTGTTCTAAACTGCAACATATTTCTATATTCGTAAATTAAAACAGCTTACCAAATGACCTATGTAATAGAAAGAAAATTGTGACATTGAATAAATTGGCTTCTTATATAGAATACCATAGAAAACCACTATCAGTGATTTAGAAAATAATTATATATTAATAAATTAATTATATATATATACATATTTCTATATTAGTAAATTAAAACAGCTTACCAAATGGCCTATGGAGTAGAAAGAAAATTGTGACATTGAATAAATTAGCTTTTTATATAGAATACCATAGAAAACCACTGCTTTATCAGTGATTTAGAAAAAAAATTTCTATTATTAAATTAACTATATGTACATATTTCTACATTAGTAAATTAAAACAGCTTACCAAATAGACTATGGAATAGAAAGAAAATTGTGACATTGAATAAATTAGCTTTTTATATAGAATACCATAGAAAACCGCTGCTTTATCAGTGATTTAGAAAATAATTATCTATTATTAAATTATTCATTTATTTATCTTCAAAGATATATGTTCTATTAAGCGTCGTACAACGATTACCACTTAAAAAATGACAACTTAAAAGGAAATCGCTATCGGAAAAAATTACGAAAGTTCATTTCTTTCATTCAATATTTTCTTTGCATTGTCTCTTTTATTGGATAAAACTATTAAAATCATCTGAGCTACAAAAATTTATCAATAGCATTAAAGTATAGAATTCGATGATGTTCAATTGTTTAATTTATCAGAATCACTCAGGAAAGGATTTTATCTTAGGGGGAATATAAAATATAATATACTGGCTAAATACCCGTTCTTTTTGCGGAATTAAAAAGCAAAATTTTCAACAAATAAGTACTGAACAACACTACCAAATCATAGACAGAATTGAGAGTCGTATATCGACCCAATGGGATACATGCAAGTAACGTAGTGTGGTTATCTCGATCCTGATTGATTGTTGAAACGTGGCATTTGATTATGTGAGCAACTGTTCTTTCCCTTATGTTTCGTGTATGCCAAGCCTACCAAGTGTCAATTCTCTTATGTGGCACAAACTCGTTTCTTTCACAAAGATTTCTATTCTTTCAATATATATTTCTTATTTAACGCAAAGACAGGCCCGAAGATATTTAGAACATTAACAAGCTAATAATACATCGAAGTTGCTAGGTATACAAAACAAAAATTTACCATGGTTGCAATAAAATATATAAGCAAATAATAAATCTAAGTTAAATAAAAGACGTAGACGATAAAGAATTATATTTTAATAAGTTCGATGTGAAAAACGAAGTGCACTGTATTTAATTAACTTCTCGTTAAAGAACATTCTAACTTTGTTGAGAAACTTAGATCAATTCGCTTCATTTCGGTTATAAACGATCAGCTAGCGCTGACGTTATAGGTCACGTGTGTGGGTATCTGTGATCTTGTTCTTCTTAAAGTGCAAGTACCAAATTAATAAAGCTAAAATAATGTAAATTTTTTTTAATAATTTATTGGCCTTTCACGTGACTTTACGTTACTAAATTAGGCGAAACAGGTTTTTTGTAGCTTATCTCATCAGAATAGAGATTAACTGTATTCAGTATCACTTGGCATGACATTATTGCTCGCTATCAACTCATAATAGTTCAACTTTATCACTATCAAGTAATTTCATTCAGTACATATACCTTTCGAGGGATCACAAGACACTTTTTTCTGTAGTATCAATTTTACAACTGCGCAGTATAGTTTTAGTATTAAGAATTACCAAATATATCAATACAACATTTTATACCTACATTAGTATATTTGGTACCCATTACATAATCCCACAACATTTGAGATCTATGAACATGTTGTGAGCGTTCTCACATTTATCAGTGGCGACTAACTAAAGCCCAAATTTTAAAACAAATAGAATTCTTATGAGACCTTGAGAGAGACATTACCTTTTCTTCATCTGACTTTTAACATACTGTGTAAAATATTTTTAAGTAATAGTGGAATTCAAATTCATTAATATGTTAATACACTATCTTTGCTACGACATGAAAATATTTTCTGAAACTACGAAAAATCTCTTGCAGATTTCTCATTAAAACTGTACAAATTACCGTTGTACCAGTAGTACATATTATGAAAATTAATAAGGCGTCATCTGCTTGTGACGATTTCCTACGGTTCCCCAAAACAAGTACCTTTTCTAGGTTAACTTCACTTGGTTAGGTAATTTTTTATTTCATTTTAATACATATTACCAATATTTACGAAGAATTAGTATCAATAATAATTATATGGGGATTTTTTACTGCTCCCCAAAGCAAATAAGTATCTTTTCCCCATTAACTTTGATTTTTAGCTCATAGTTTTTTTTAAATATCATTCAATAAATATTACGAACAGTAATTAAGTAATATCGGTGTCAATAATGGTATGGCACTATTGTGCGGTTCCTCTTAATAAATTAGTAAAACTTTTTCATTAATTTTGTCTTTCAATACATTTTTTTCATCTCAAATACTATTGATTTTAAAATATTTACATTTATAGAAACACGTTTTAAAATAATTACCATAAATCAAACACGTGGTTTCAGATAACTTTCGAAATACTACTTTGTAGACTTAATCCTTTTCTGCTTTCACGTTAACGTTGTTCATTGAATTTATTTGCGTGGCATAGCGGTTAAAAATGAATCAATACTGAAGTTCGCGTCGTGAATCCTTTTTTTTTATTTTAACATATTTAAATATATTTATTTGACAATATGACATCCATTATAACAAAAAAAACTATGTTTAATCTTTTTTACCAGTTTTAACTATCATTATTTCAGCACTAAATTTACAATTCCTTATAAATAGAATCATCCTTAATATTATTAAGGTTTACTATGACATGGTTAAACTCATTGCAAAATAAACTGTAAAACTCTTTCATCTTTCAATTGTTAATGTCTACCATTTTTAATTACATCGTCACTTAAAAATGCAAAACAAGAATGCTATATTCAAAATATTTAAGAAGGGTATCAATAAATTTTTTAAAGTTTTTAAGAACTTTTTCTTGAAAGCTGAAAATCACAGGAATAATTTTAATACGCCGCATTCTGTATTGACGCGCATATGAATGGAAAACGTTATTGCAAATTTTAAATAACGTTTTCTCAAAGAATAGCATTTTCTATTCACAGAAGCATAACTTCTCTAACTTGAAAAAGATTTTCTAAATGTGACGGTTAGAACCATCTGATTTATGAACAATAATATATTTAACTGTGATTGTTTTTTTTTATGCAAAAGAATAAACTTAGTTTATGCTACATAAAATATGTGCTTACCTGATTACAAAAGAGCTTAAATTCATCAGCAAAAATAGCAGTTTTTAAAATTTTGTATCTCAAAGAAGTATTAAGCTCGTGACTGTTTTCGCAAATTATTACATGTAAAAAAATATCCATGAAAAAAAAATTAAATAATAATACAATTTGTAAAAGCTTTTTTCTTGCCAGCTCGAAATATCTTAATTTTAAAATTCAAAATGTTCCTGTGATATCGTCAGATAGGCAAAATTTTGTTCTCAATAGAACCCTGGTTTGTAATGCTTTAACTAATAGTACTTGGCTTACCCACTTGCCACTACTTATACTTTATATGTAAAAGAAGTATAAAAAATTAGATAATCAAACCATGATTTCTAAGTCCTTGCAGTTATATTTATTATGAACTTATTTGATTTAATAAATTTGGTAATTCTACATTATCTAGTTATAAGTATCATTGGGTATTTGCAACTAATCACGTGGTTTACGTGGAATGTAAACGTTACGGTTTCAAAGCAAGTGTTTAGTTTCTTGCTGAATCAATTTTCGGTTCAGGTTTAATTAGATACTTTCCATTGATGTCATTAAGAGTTCGTGAGTTCGATCCCCTCAGCTGAAGACTCCCCGTGTAGTAAATGGTGACTGATGCACGTTAAATCTGTCGAGTCTCAAAGTCCTCCATGTTCTCATAACAAATCAATACCTCTGGGGGTACTGTTACAAGAGTTTCCTTGTCTTCGGGATTGGTTCAAAGTTAGAGTTGAACATCAATAGTCGTAAACCCAAAATTGGGTCGGCTGTTCAATAACAGTTATAAAGTTATAAAATTGATGTCATGTTTATCTGATTCACGCGTGACATCTCTTGCAAGTATCCAATTGTCATTGCTTACATTCGCAATCAAATTGAAAGCTTCAGGAGACAAATTAATGAATAAGTTGATTAAAAACGTATAGGTGCATTATACTCTTTTCAACTAAAATTCTGTCAACACATTTTATATAAAATGTGTGCAAAACTCAAATATATTAGTTAAAAATTTCTAATTTGGTATTTAAAAAATAAACTGCGTAAAAAGTTGCGGGGTATACCTGTACTGAATGTCATTTGGAATAAAATTATAAATTTTAAAAAGATTTTAAAAATCAAAGGTGTTAAGTTTAATTTTAAATTTGCTCTTTTTTCTGCTTTTTAGGCCTAAAAAATTTGCAACTGAAAAAAAAAATCGATAATCCAGAAAAAGTAGTCTGCAAAAATTTGTTTTTGCCTTGTTTAATTCAAAATTTATAATGTCAAATATTATATGTCATTAAATCAAGAGGGAAAAATTCCATCCCAGAACTTTTGTTTGTTTTATTTGAAATTTTGTTGTGCAACTCATATGCAATTTTAAATAACTTATGCGTTATACCTATCGACTCTTAAAAGAAACCGTGAGCACTAATAAAATTATTATTGATTTTATATTTACAAACTATTTTACGACGTAAGAAACTTTAAATTGAATTCTGAAAAAAAAATTCAAGCAAGCAATAACGTCTATTTAACTATTATTTAAAATTATTTTTTAACATTTGTAGTTCAGAAAAATTATGAGTTCAGTTGTATTGAAATTTGAATAAGATTAATACATAAGCAAAATATTTCAAAAAAGCCTATGTCATTAATATTAAATAAAGTTATGAACTTAAAAAGAGGCTTTATTGTAGGAAAAATATCCATCAACTTATTACAAGCAAAAATACTTTTTACTGTGTCCAATATTTTTTCCATCATTAGAGCATAGGTGCATAGAAATATTATTATTTAACATTGGTTTAAGTTATTTTTTAACTTCTTTAATTGTTTTCAAATAAAATATGTATATCATATGTAAGAAGAAACGCTTGAAAAGCTTTATGGATGATAGTTTCAAGGTACATTTTAGTGAAGTAAGAAACATCAGTTTTAGAAACAAAGAAACAGAAGCCGTTTTCAAAAGACATTCACTGGTTAAAAGAAGTTAAATTTTATTCAAACAGCTGAAAATAACATATTTTTAAACGCTAAATTTCATGATCAGTATGTCATAATAGGCTTTCTTCTACTGTATTTGAATGAATATTTTAATTTAGCTCTTAAAAATTCAGAAAATCATTAATAGCTTGTATGTGCAATAATAAAGATAAGGATTTATTGTTTTGTCTGTCTATGTGTGTCTCTCATTTAACGCTTGAACCGTTTGTTCTATGGCGTCGTAAGCAAAAGAAAATATAAGCCACCGATCCTGAATTTCATTTAAAAAAGTCAATTTTTCATTTGGGTAGGATGAGTGAAAAATTAATTTTTTTCATAAGTTAAACATTACGCTTTGTTGAAATTCAAATTGCAGACGTTTTTTCCTTTAAAGGATTTAATAGGCAACGTCGGTGATTTTTCTTGCTTACAGCTCTATTCAACTAAAACGAGTTTCATAGGCAGTTTATGGAGTAATAATATTTTATCCTTGAGTCCTTATAATAAATAAGTACAATTAAAATCAACTGCAATCTAAAGGTGAACCAGCATTTGAAAGCTACCCGAACCCACTTATTTATTTTGCTCACAGGCACGGTTTTCAAACGTGCTTCTATAAACCTAACTAATTTGAGCCATTCTAGCCCTGGGGATAAAGCGCTCACCACAAAATGAGGTTACCCTGGTTCGAATCCCAGTGATCACTGATCGATACGAAATTCACACACACCGATCACAGTACTGTCGTAAAATATCCTCAGTGGTAGACGGATCATGGCTTAGAATCCCCTTGCCATCAGGCTTACCATGAGAAGTTTTTGCGGTTTTTATCTCCCTGTAAAGCAAATGCGAATTATTGCAATTAAAAAGTACTCAGGGAAATTTCTCCTAATGCTTGATCAGGAAGTTCCCTTGTCTTCTCGTATTAGGTTCAAGATTACAGGGCTACGAAGTTGAAAATTGGTAGTCGAAACTCAAAATTGGGTCTGCTGTTCAACGACAGTTATAAATTAAAAACCTTATGTTATGTTCTAAAATGATATTGAATCAGAAAAATATTCATTGTTCTTGAAAATTGCTTCATCTTGAAAATCAAATGTCGCTTCTAATCAATAGCACCATTTTCTGGATCGAAGACGCTAATCTTTCCGATTAATCTTCTAAATTAGATCGAGTATAGTTAATCTCTCTTTTGATGAGCTAAATTTCGTAGCACTTTTAATGTAAGTGATTGATAAAATTTATTTATGAAATGATATCTTTAATGTCCCATTGTAGAGTGTTTATAGGGTGTTTAAATATGTGATTATAGAGTGAAAGAAAATGACATTAGAAAATATTATTTACATTTTTATTAAAATGTTCCATTATGAAACTATATCACACAAAAATAATATTATGGAATGCTTAAAATCAATGAAAATTTAGAGTAGAATTGAAGTCATTACATGTAGTCGATAATCAAACGGAAGGAAAACTAGCTTTAGTCGCAATACCACATTGATTATCTCTGTTTCTGGACATTTTAATGTAACCATTCATTCCCCAAGAAGTGCCCCAACTGAAAAATATAAAATATGAAAAAATACATAAATACATTATACATATTTATATAAATACTAAAATTTGTTTGACTCAAAACTAATATTTGAGAATTAATGTATAAAATTTTCAAATAACATTTGAGATTTTCTAAATCTAAAATTGTTAATGCAAAATATTTTATTCAGATTTGAAAATATTTTATCTTAATATTAAGACAAGGACAATCTCGTACCTGTTCTTCACCAACCAATAATCTAAACCGTTTTCGGTTCCATATCCAACAACAAGAACGGCATGATCTAGCTCGCTTGTACTGCAAAATTCTTCATCGTAGATGCCACTTCTACAGAATTATAGAAGTATATATATAACAGAAATGTAGTAAAGGTATATAGATACAGGTTTACCAACAAAATTGGTTTTGTGATATATGAATAAAACACTATAGTACTCGTACAACTTCTTAAATTGCATGGCAGAAACAGAGCATGGTTTGCTTTTTGATAGGTTGTTGTTGTTGTTTCTGATCCCCAAGAGGTTCATCCCAATTAGACCAATTCCATAAGTCCAAAAATGTCCAGGAAGTCTAAAAACAGATGAGGTTTTGAAAAAACCTCGTCGATCTTAAAATCGATACAGTTTAGAGTATGCTCGGGCGAAACCTGAGCAGTCCTACATTTAGTGCAAAGTCCAAAAGTCTTTTGCCCCTGAACATACGAGAGACACCTCTAGTGACCACTTGCAAAGCGAGATAAACAAGTCTGCTGGCTTCTAGGTCCCTCAAAAAGCAAGGCACTTCCAGGTCGTTTTCTGAAATACCAACTATGCGGAGGAGGAACCCTCCAGAGGTCCATAAACATTTTTGATGATAGGTAAAGACGCGGTAAGAGCAATATGAGGCATTAATGGATATACACAGCAAAAAACATCTGTTAAATTTACAGAAAGAAAACTCTCAGCTGGTGTGCTGGTATAATATAGTTTACTTCAAATAGAAATACTCTGTTATTTGAAAAATAGACGAAAGCTACCAAATAAGCTACCAAATTCTGCAGCTAATTTTTAAGCTACCAAATACTGTTATTTTAATATACAAACTCTGTTATTTTAATAGAAAAAAAACTCTATAAATTAGCTATGGGTACGGTGCGAGTCGAGCGAAAAATTCTCGTGACTAGTGAACACCGGGAATCGAACTCGCTCTCCGTCATCGGGATGCGAGCGCTCTGACCCCTGAGCCACAGCAGCTCTATTGTGTGGTTATGAAGCGAAATCTTAAACTGTTTTTACCTTTAAAATGTTCATTATTGAAATCATATTTAAGTGCAAAAAACACTTAAAACTACATTGACCCACCCTTCAAACTAGCAATTTTATTTAACTTACCAAAACATTATATCGAAATACAAATAATAATCAGGTGGAATATCAATGTGACAATGAAGTCGAATTGCAATTTTATTTATACGATGAACAAAACTATTAAATAATTTCTGAACTGCATGACAAAACTGCAAAATTGCATTTCAAAGACTGGAATTTGAATTGTTAGTTTTAATCCGTTTATGAATCGAGTGGAGATCGGAGAAAAAATGTTCTGTGAAGGAAAAACAAAAACGGGAGTTTTCGGCAACTTACAGGTAGATTAAAAACAGAAAAAACGGGTCTTTATCTTTAAACACTTTTCTTTCTGTAAAATATACGATAGCTTTCTGTAGAATTTACAGTCATTTTTTATAGTGTAATAGTATATAGCAATATAATAGTGATGGAAAGATAAAAAATTACATGAGGATAATACATTTTTTTAAGGGAAGTTGGTAGGGCATATATCAATAATACTAAAACTGACCTTTACTGATGTACTTTTTCTAAGAAAGTACGCATGATATCACTTCGAAATTTTTTTGGGGATATCTGAAATATATGCGGAATACTTTTTGAGCTATGGAAGAATTTTGCTCAAAAATGATGAAACTTTTTTTAAAAAATGAAAGTTTTCAGAATGCTGTTCTCATGGAAAGACAATGTCAGTACATGCTAACTTTTTTGCTAAATGGTTATTTAAAGTTCGCGAATTTTTTTTCGTTTTTGACTAAAGCAAAATTTTTTTTAGAAGAAGAAAATAACTATCATTAGGCTTAACACTAGATATCGTTTTACACAAAGGGCAATTTATCATCACTTTGTGACACATTGCACTTAACTAACAGCTGAGCTTATAACAAAAATATAAAAAAAATTCCGCAATTACATTAAAAATCTAAAAAAAAAATGACTGTTTTAGAGACTTGTTCCTCCTTCTCCCACAAAGAAACAAGGGAACTCGTTACGTAACAGAACCCCTTTCCTGGCTTCGAGTATCCACAAAATTTTAGACAAATATTTATATAAAAAACGTAACTGTTTAGAGGCTCCCACTATCAGGCATTATGCACTTATCAAGAAGTACAGCAGCAAATAAAAAAAGTATGAATCAGTGAATTCATATTATTCCTCATGGAAATTGATTCCATGATGATTGAATTGATTCCCAGGGCAACTTGTGCGACTAGCATGCTCACTAATCCACCAAGTTTGAGAAATCGATTAATATATATGGTTGATAAGGAGGTTGCATATGCATCATGTTAGAAGGTTGCACATCTCACCATATCTTTGAAAGAAGCAATGTGAATTATGAGTAAAGCGATTTCTGATTTCTCCTTTTCAGACACGCAGTTGGCCATGATTCCGTTTAAATTAATCAAAATGTGCGTCCAAATAGAGCTATATGGTTGACAAGTTTATGAAAAGTAAATATAGTCGCTATATGACTTGGCAAACCATATCTCTAGACTCGAACTTTAAAAAAAAAAAAATATTAGAGACACTCTGGAGAGCCGGCAACCATCCGGAACTTGAAAAACAGTGTTGTCGAACTAGTGGGACCCATTTTCACAGGAACTCTAGAACTGCCATTTTTTTACAGTATGAAACCACAATTTAAACATTATCCTTTATTTAAATATTTTATAATTTATATAACCATTTTTAATATTTCCGAATCATATAGGTGTTACGCAACGTCATTGTATATTATAACCATTGAACTTTTACTTTATTTGCATTATTTTAACTACAAATACCAAAATTCATTAAAATCTTTCCTGGAGTAGTACTTAGTTAAGATAATTGATGCTAGCTGAAAATTCTTTTAATTTTGTACACTGTGTACTTTTACGTAATTCATCAAAAATATTTCTGATAACAATAGGAAATGTTATTGGAAATAATAAGTGAAATAACAAAGAAGAATTACACCACATTCTGTAACACACTTACTGATATGAATGGAAACTGGGCTGACTGGCATCAATCGCTACAGAGATTGGACCCACAGTTGCGACTGCCTTTTTTAGTGATTCTTCGTCCCCAGAACCTATGTCGACATATCCTGTACAATTTGCTCCAACGTTTTCTTTCTTGAAAAGACAATTTAAACTGGCCTGAAAGAAAAATACTTCAGATTGAACTCCGTATTTCACAGACATTTTGAGAACATTTATTTCAATATATTTTAACCGTTTAAAATTAAGTGTTGAGCATTTTGAATAGTTTCAAAAAGTTTTACTGTTAGCAATTTACACAGGCGAGTTATAAGAAACAGTGTTATTCTTGTTCTTAAAACTCGTAATACGAATCAGTTATTAGTTGGTTCCAATTTACAAGGTCCCGCAGTGAACTGATCGTTAAGACACGGTTCCCAGCAGATCACCGAAGTCAAGCATCACTGGCTACGGTCAGTGTGCGGGTGGGTGACCACTTGGATCAGTCTGCGTAGGGACCGAAGGTGTTGCGGTATTGGTCCTCGTTAAACTGTTCTACCGTAAAGTGCTCGACTTCACGTGCAGGTGGTCGGGCTACCGAAACGGGGGTGCCATCCCCTCTGCAGAGGATCAAAATTGTGATGGCATGTCTTCGGATCATCCTCAGGAATGTTTCCCAGACCGTCGCCAATAGCCCATTGTGCAGCTCCAGTGCGACGTAAATGAACTACAACTACAACAACCAATTTACAAGTTCCAATTTGACCGATTTCCAATTTGTTTTTTACTACGTTGTTTATTTATAGTCTTTTTTACTTTTCATTGTTTCAAAGGTAATTTAATACAAAAAAAGTCTAACGGAGAAAAATTTGATGCTCAAACAAATAAATAGGCAAAGTAGACGCTAATACTTCAAAAATAGTAACTCATCCACTTTATTTACTGATTATTTCTAACATTTTTTATTCAATATTTGTGTTTCGTAGTTTGATTAAATTTATTAATCAGATTAATTCTGTTGATTTGTAATGTTAGGTGAAAATCAAAATTCTAATCTCAATAATAAATTGTTGCCCATTTCGTTAACTATCTGTTTCTTTCTCTCCTTTTAGTGCTGCTCTTTTCCCTCCTACTTTAGCAGGGTTCCCACGACCTGGAAAAAATATATGAGTGGTTTTTCAAGACTACTGAAAAATATTCCAATTTCGCTTTCTTTTGAGAATTACGAAATTATTCCAGAGGTATTTTTTGCATGTTTACTTTAAATTAAAAATTTATTGTAGCTTAAATCAACTGGATTTATTTCAGTTTTTCAACCTCTGCAATTTTCCAGACAGTAGAAACCCTGTTTAAAGTCACCATCGAGTTAAACTTGGAAAGCTTTTCGCTGTTTCCAATATGTGTAATACAAACATAATGAAAGCTTTAAATTTCGCTGTCGGCTGTGAGAGTTTAAGAAATTTAAAGATTCCGAGTTAGGCAGTATGTATCAGTGGTTAAAAGTTGTAATAAAATAAGTCCCACATTGATCGTAAGACACGGTTCCCAGTAGATCACCAAAGTCAAGCCTCACTGATCACTGTCAGTGATTGCGTGGGTGAGTACTTTGAACAGCCTACGAAGGAACTGAAGTGTGCAGTAGAGAACCTTGAAAAACTGTTCTACCGTAAAGTACTCGACTTCGAGCACAGGTTGTCGGGCTATCAAAACGGGAGAGATCTTTCCTTGGCAGAGGATCAAATTACGGTGGCATGTCCTCAGATCATGTTTTCCAGACTGTCACCGTTGTGCAACTTTAGTGTGACCTGAATAAATTACTATTAGTGTAATAAAATAAAACATAATAAGCTCACCGGACAAAAAATTAGCCAACCTAGTGCGCAAACACCGATGAATCCTTAGGCTTCGTTAGATGACGCAGTGGTCAAGTGACGTGCTCAACTGCATGCACACTGCTTCAACCTGATCAAAGACAAGTAGCTATCAGTGAGACATTTTTGTTTGAAGCGGAAATTGTGTGTAAATATGGGTAAGAGTAAAGATGTGATAGAGTGGTAAAAAGGGGCAATTGTGTTTGGCCGTGCCAATGGTCATATGGTGAATAAAGTTGCTGGATTTGTTGGCATTTCAAAGCTGACTGTTCAACGTGTCTACATGCAGTGGTGTAATATACGTGGTCACGAAAAACACCGTCAGAATTGTGGTCGGAAAAAGATCCTGCATGAAAGTGACCGGAGACGCGTTTCACGACTTTTCAATCAAAATCGCTTACAAACTAAACAGGAATCACTTCAGTTACTAAATGAAGATCCATCCCAGTCTTTTAGTGAGAAAAAATTGCGAATGGAGCTGCATGCAATGAACATATGGAGTCGAACATCTCGTAAGAGGTCATTGCTCGCACTTGCACATAAAGCTGCGCGACTTCAGTGGGCTAGAAGTCACCGAACATGGGCAGTTGCTGACTGGCAGAATGTAATATGGTCTGAAGAATCACGTTTTTGCATTTATTCAAAAGAAGCACGTCTGCAAGTGCAACGCAGACCAGATGAAGCATTTCATCCTGACTGTGTGCAAGCATAGGTTCAAGCCGGAGGTGCGTCTGTCATGACTTGGGGGTGTTTTTCTCATTATGGATTGGGCTCCTAACTGAGGGGGCCACTAACATGACCCAACATATTTATTTGAAAGTTCTGGACAATTAGGAGTAACCTTTCAGTCACCCTCTTCATGTAAAGTGTGTTGTTGATACCTCTATTTTTCAAGATGACAACAGCAAAGTTCATGGGGAAGGAAGTATATGTGACTGGTTTTATGAACACTCAGACACTCAATTACATCTCGGCTGGCCAGCAGGCTCACCTGACTTGAACCCCATTGAAAATTTGTGCGACATGTTGGAACAACGGGTAAAACGCCAAAATCAGCATTCTCACAATTTGGTGAATTTGCACGATCAAATCCTCAACGAGGGGCTTAAACTGGATTCGACGTACTTGCAAAATCTTGTGGGCTCACTTCCTAACCGAATCCAGGCAGTCATCAAATCTAAAGACGGTGTTACACGTTATTAAATGATCTTTTTCATGATTTCTCTAAGGGTGACTAATTTTTGGCAGGTGAGCTTATATTTCTTTAATAATACAACACTTGTTTTTACTCTGATTGAATAATGTTGCTTCGGATCAAGCCAAATTTATAAAGGTTCATAAACTATCAGAACAAACCAAAGTAGTAATTAAGGCAGAATATTTGAAACTTAGTTTACTTTATTATTTTTATAAAGATTTGAAAAACAAAATTTGTGTTACGTATCCTTTTTAATCTGAATTTCAAAAGGAAGGAAATAAAACATTTTATGTAACGTTGCAATATATTTTAACAACCCAAAGTAGCATACGTTTGCTGTGTAAGGATAAGACACTTCCGTATCGATTCCCAGATTGTCTTGAATATATTTGAAAGCATTGTCCATCCATCCTCCATTGCAGCCATTATTTTCTATGAAAAATACAAGTAAAATATACAGATATAACTATAATATACATATAAGTATACGTAATATACGCATGTAAGATATAAGTACAATATACAGATATAAGTAACGAGTGGCATGTATCTAAAAAACTTCCGAAAAGCTGATATCTATAAGAACATTACTTCATTGAGAAAAAAATATGGTCAAAACTTTCAAAATATGGTAAAAATTACAGCATCTTTTTTATTATCTGGGAAGATGGAAAATACGGTAATTTTTACCGTAGTACTTTTGATAGAATAATGACTTTTGATAGAATTACAAATAAAATGTGACTTTATTATCTTGTTGTATGGCAGTAAATTTTGACTGCGAAATACATTTATGGGATTACTTGAAAAAAGAGAGTTTTATTTTTGTGAGAACAAGAAATCTTATAAGTAATTTTCTATCTTATTAATAAATAGTTATTATGCTAATAAGTGTTATAAATTGCACCAAGGAGAAATTCTTTTTTGTTTCCTGCTTCATAAGATTTTTTAATGGATCTTGGATGTTTTCACGTTGCTAATTTCAAATCTGCAATCGATTTCTCTCTCCGAGCTATAGTTTTATTAATGCCATTTTTAGTCTATTTTTGACTAAATATGCAAGGTTAAAAACGTTATTATATGACAGGGGGTCGCATAAAAATTTCTAGGAGAGTTAGGGCAGATTATCAGGATATAAGTTGCAAAGAAACCCATGCTCGCAAGCATCATCAAACGCCACTAGGAGCGTTTCCCTATTATAAACTTTTTCTTCGCATACTTTGGTTCCTATGCAGTTCATAAATCGGGAAGTGCCCTAACCTCGTACGACGACATTTCCGGTGAAGTACGATATTGATGATGCGCCTTAACTTCCCGAGAAGTCGGTCGCAACACTTACACGAGATTCTGTTGTATAAAACGTTTTTAAATTTGAACTTTCTGTAAAATCTGTACTTTTAAGAACAAAATAATTTCAGATTTGAAATCCCCACTCCCGAATTAGGAAAGATCAAGTGCTTGTATGAATGCAACAAAAAATTTATTCCTCAGTGTTATCATAATTAACAGGTGATTAGTCACATTGTTCATGTCAACTTAAGGACACGTTTTGCGTGTATTCAAATTTTAAACAATCGAAACAAAAAGAATCATGTATTCAAACTACTACAATAAAAAAACTTAAATACCCTATTTTGTTATTATATTTGCGAAGTATAAAGTGAGATTTTGTACCATATACCCAAGTGCAGTCCACTAGATTCTGTTCACTGAGGGATATTAATTGGCCAGTTTTCTTTTTGTGTTGACCTTCTAGTGATCCTGTGGTGGAGAATGCCCAGCAAGATCCACAGTCTCCCTAAAATATATGACCACAAGTATAGTTAAATTTAACAAAAGCCATATGAAAATGAATAACAACCTAAAACACAATTTGGTTCTTTCTTTCTTTTTTTAAAATTATTTTATTATACTAATATGCTGATTTTGATGAGAGTTTTTCTTTGTCAGCTTTGTCCTGCAGTGGACTGATCGTAATGACACCGTTCCCAAGTAGAACACCGAAGTCAAGCATCACTGGTTGCGGTCAGTAAGCGGTTGGGTGATCATTTTGATCAGCCTGCGTAGGGACCAAGGGTGCGCTGTATTAGCCTTCCTTAAACTGTTCTACCGTAAAGTGACCGACTTCGCGTCATCGGGCTACCAAAGCAGGAAAGCGATCCCTTCTGCAGATGATCAAAATCGCAATGGCATGTCTTCGGACCATCCTCAGGGATGTTTCCCAGACCGTCGCCAATAGCCCATTGTGCAGCTCTAGTGTGACGTAAATAAAGTACCTACCTACCTATCTTTGTCAGCTTTAAACTGGATTTAGCAATTAAAAATTGAGACCTTTTCACAGCGCCACCAATCAATTGCTGCCTTCAGTGCTAGGCATTTTTTAAATTCATTTTCACAATTGCGTGTTGTTTGTGTTTTTCTGTTTGAAATTTTTTTTCTGATAAGCTCTACTCTTAGGGATTTTTGCAATAAATAACAAATTTAATATAAATATTTCGTAAGTTTAAATTTTATTGTATGCTTACTTGGTCTTTGACAGGCGTAACCAGTCCTTGCTCTCGCCAATCAACTTCATCAGGAATGTATGCATTGGAAGGTTCAACCCAATTAGATCCGCTGCCATTTTGACGGTAGTTGCTTTTGAATCCATTAAGACGACTCACAATTTCAGTGCTGCTCTATAATTCAACAAAAAAGTAATCTATTTCTCTTTAGATTTGAAAGTAAGTATATTCTAGTTAGTGAAGTTTGTTGTACTTACTTTAAATAATTTAATTTAATAATAAAAATTCTTTTTCGCAATGTTATTATTCATGAAAGGCTTGGGGCAATATAATGGCAATGTTTCTTCAAACTGGTTCTCAATATTGTTTCCAAATGGACACTTTATCAGCTTTCGCATTTTGCTCTTGCTGGTTTTGCAATACAAGTAAACATTTAAATTTCAGCAAAGAAACTGAGGTGTTTTTCAGAAGAAACTGCTTATAATAAAAGCATTATAGACCGATTTGAAACTGTGCCTTATCATGTCACAGTCCCAGGGATTTCATATTTAATAAATGTTGCATTCTTCTACGCAATAAACTTTTAAAAACAGTCAGTCTAATCTTGGAAATCCTGTGTTTCATAAAACGAATTAAATACAGGATGTCCCAAATTAGATTGACAGTTTTTTAAAAAAATTATTTCATATAGAAAATTTAGGTTAAAAAAAATTTTTGCAGCAAATCTATGTGATAAGTCGGGAATTTTTCCTGCAAAAATCCTGCTTTTGTTCAAGCATTAAGTAGTAAGTCAAGTACGAATTGCAATATCTTCGATATGTTCTCCATCACCTACTACCTCATGTCGTAATAGATAAGCAAAATTTTTATACATCTAAACATAAAAGAAAAAACAGGTAAAGACACAGTGCCATCTAGCAAAAACATTTTAAACTAAAGCCAGGGTCTCTGGCAGATAAAAAAAAAGTATATTTTGTCACACGAAATTACTGCGAAATTTGTATTTATAACTTCGTGTAAGATTTTTTTTTAAAATCAGTCAGTATAATTTTAAATACCATGTATATTTACATTCTAAAATTACAAAAAATTCGATACTTTCTTCACACCATAAAATATTTTACAAAAAAAAATTCATTAAGTTACAAGTGCCTGATTTACAGAAATCTCATAGAATATTATTTTAGAAGATTCATATTTTTCACCGCTTTCCCGACAATTTTAAAGATGAGGAAAAAAATTTTATGCTTAAAATAATTCAGCAGAAAATACATAATGTTACCAGATCTGAATATTTGTTAATGCCTTTTCTATACGTAAAGAATCCGAAATCTGCTAGATGATTATGGTGTTCAACTTCCGCAAATTTCTGTTCCCAAATCAATCTTCTTGCCAGTTCTTCTCTTCCATCATAAACTTTTCCAAAAGTGGTCTGGAAACAAATTATAGTTTTTTTGTATTAATTAGTTATTTAAATTTTAATCACTAAAAGCAGTCTTTAAGGAATAAATATGTTTCTTTAAAAAATTCATCTTTTACGAATTGTAAATGATCGAATAAGAGATATCTAAAGTTCTCTTCTAAAGATATCTAAAGATAAGTTTCAAAAATCTCTATCTTAATTTTTATCTCTAGTCTGTATTTTTGACTATTATTATCATTACTATCATAATTTTTTGCAAAATAAATCCTTTTATGTTTTCTTACTTGCTTCTCATGTACTTACTAGATATACTAAAATAACAAAAATGCATAACAACATGAATGCAAAAATGCTAAACTCGTCATCTGAAACGTGTCCCAAAATGTATGCAAGAATTGAATTAAATAGAAAGTTTATCAACTTAGTAGAGGCAACCTTAAAAATATATTACAATTTGACACCGGACACTAAAGAAATAGTAAAGATGCCACACTACACAAAAGAACAACGCGTTTTCTTCATTTGTGAACAATATTTCATAAAAAATGAAAGTTTGGCTGCTACAGTTTGCAAATTTCGTACCAAATATGGTCAAAATATTGATTTTACTTAATGTAAAGATAGTTATTAAAAAAATTAAGGAGTCTGGATTAATTAATGGCGCTAAACACACTGACCGTTCAATACACGTGTGTTTCATCATGGATAACATATGTTTTTCAACAAGAGTGCGTGGCATGCCATCCAGACCTTGAATCAATCCAATAATTGCATAAGACATTTCCAGGTCGTGTATTCTCCAGTTTCGGTGATCAGAATTGCCCAGAACATGTGACTAAACATTAATATTGAATTTCTTTCTATGGAGTTATTTAAAATCAAAGATGTATTTCAACAAGACTACATCAGCAATTTCATTGAAGGAAGAGATTCAGTGACAAAGCAAAATAGTAATGAAAAATTTCAATGAAAGAGAAAGTATGTGCCAGTAAAGCTGTGGAACCCATTTGCCTACTGTGCTATTCCATGCATAACCCAATTTTGTTTACTTTATGCTTGAAAAAAAAACTTTAATTGGAAAAAAAACTGTGTTCTCTATTTTAATTCAAATCTTGCGTAAATTTTAGGTCGCTTTTTATCTCAATAAGTTATCAATGTCTAAACAAAAAGTTAAGCTTGTGAAAGACATATTTCATTTTGCAAACTTTTATACGTAACTCTAGTTCACCATGTGCATTTTAATTTAATACCAAATGAGTAATAGCTGGGGTATTAATGGGTATTAAATTACATAAAATTTCCTCAAAATTCGATTCGATTTTTAGCCTGGTTGGCAGGGTGTTGGACTCACGTTTGGAGGAATGAGAGTTCGAATCCAGCTGGTCGAAGACTCCCCGTGTAGTAAATGGTGACTGGTACTTTTCTAAATTTGTCCTGACACAAAGTCCTCCATGTTTCCATAACAAATTATACCTCTTGGGGTACTGAATTGGAGATCGATCGTTCTCTGGTTCAGGTCAAAATTACGATCTGTGGATGAATGAATGGATTTGTGAATGGGTCCGCCCTATAAAACAGGCCCTAAATGGAGCCATTGGAAAACAATAACAATGGCACCCCCTCTGCCTTAATCGCCGAAGAGAACAACAAAACTGATTATCGGAGTTTTTAAGGTGTAGAATAAAAAACATATTTTCTTATTTTGCAACCCGTTGTCCATGTTAGTATCATTTGTGCAATTAAAATGTATTAAACTGTATGCCCACCCAGTTTAATTGCAGGAACTTCAACCTCAATTAACTATTAATCTTTTACCTGACTTTTTAGCCCCAGAATAATTGTTTTAAAAAAACTATGCTTGTGCCCCTGTTAACCTGCAAATGATAAAATGTAAGTAGATATCCATTACGTTACATGAAAATATATAAAACATGTATCTGAAAATATATAAAACATGTATCTGCTTACTATTTTATTTACAATAATTTCTATCTCATTAAACAATCAATGTTGAAATTAAATTTTTAAGTCTTCAAAATAAATCCTTTTTAAGTTTCAAACCATTTTTCATGTCTTTTTCATTGAATAGATTAAAGTATACTGAAATGTATATCTGCTTACTTTTTAGTAAGCAGAACTTCACAAACTTACTTTTAGTAACAAGAACTTCGATCTCAACAAACTCTAAATCATTGATCTAAATATATCTTAATAACTCCAAAGCGAAATGTTTGAGCTTGCACTGTAAAACATTTTAGTGTATAGTTGCCGCCATTTTTGTTGCTGAAATAAACCTTTTTTTTTTTTACAGTGCACGTAGTCATATTTTTATTACCTTCTTTACTGCTATAGTTTTATTTATTTATTCATTTTTTTGTTTGTTTTTTTTCCTAACTACACAGATTTTTATGTAAATTAGAATAAATTTATGGCTTCATTGCAAAAAACATTTCATTTAAAAAAACACTTTCATAATAATATACTTGCACTAATTTTTTCAAACAATTATTATTTTGCTAATTTTATATACATTTTTGCACGTTAATATGGAAAGTTCTGTATTTAAAAATGTATTTAGTTTGCTTCAACACCAAAGTAGTGGCAACTATACACCAAAACTTTTTAATGTGAAAAGTAAGTTCTTTTTTCTTTTTGCTATGACTTTTTAATTGTTTGTGGGCTTTTAAGAACTTATCTGAGTTTTAATTAGTTCTTAAAGTGTTCGAAATTACATCCATGTTCGATCTTAAATAATTTGCTCCATTTTCTAAATTTGCGGAAATTCAAATATCTAATTATGAATCAATTTAAATTTAAATAGTCTTCTTAAGTTTAAATTATCAAGTTTTCAATTTAAGTTTAAATAGTCTACATCTTGCATACTAAAGCTACATATTACGAACGTATGTGTAGTGTATCTCTTACGTTTCATTAAAAAACACACGGAGCTTTAGTTTCGAGTCACTATAGCGTACAGCATTTTTTTTATTTATTCTCTAAGAAATTTATTTAATTTATTCAATGCAACGAAGTGAGATATTTAACAATTCTAATTATCATAGCACATACACTGTAATAACATTTTCATTAAATTGTGGCATAAAGTATCGGAACTTTGGAGTGCACCATCCATAAAATCCTTTTTTACCATATAAACAATATACCGTAATTTTTACTGGAATATTTATTCAATTTGATTAATTCAGAGATTTTGCGGTAATTATTAATGTAAAAATTATGGTTTATCAGATTTTTGTTTCGTAACATGTTCCGATAAAAATGAATTTTAAGGAAAAAGTACCGGCACCCTGTGTACAGGTACTTTTTACTGTAATTTGATCTGTAATATTTCAGAATGTACCTCTCATATTGATCTTGATAAATAAAAGTAGGAATTTTTGAAAGTAAACATGCACGTACGTAAACATAGCAATAGTTGCTTTTTTTTAACCTTTCATAGAAATTGCCGAAGATACCCATTTGAGCGCAAACGCATTTTAGTATCAGAAAACTGGAGTTGTCACATTTTGCCATTTGTTTACATAAAAAAAAAACTTAATCTGTGAATGCTTGTAATAATTTTTAGATAAAGTATGCATTTTCGAAGCTTTCATTTAAGTAAGTTACATTTGTTCTTTGTTATCATTTCAAAACAACAATCCAGCCGGTCGAAAACTCCCCGTGTAGTGAATGGTGACTAGTACACGTTAAATCTGTCGGGTCACAAAGTCCTCTATGTTCCCATGACAAATCGATATCTCTCTGGGGGTACAGATTTGACGATTGATCGTTCTCTGGTCCGAGTCAAAATTAAGATCTGTGGATGAATGAATGGATGTATGAATGGGTCCGCCCTATAAACGGGTGTGACGTATGGGTGCGTTAGAAATCGAATTCTTTTCCATAGATGGCGCCACTAGAAGGCAAGAACAATCGCACCCCCTCTGTCTTAATAGCAGACTGCGACAATATTACAAAATAGCACTATAATAAGTGTCATATGAAAAAAATTGTTTCTTATAATGAAGCTTGGACAATCCAAAATCTCCAGCCGTTACTTTTTTGCGAATTAATTCAGTTAGGTGTGCCTTTCGTTTGCTAATAGAGCACCGCAAGTGTGAAAATACGTTGTGACTCTGAACCCCAGGGATAGATGGCAGCACCACTCATTTGCGATACCTTTTTCTCAATTTAGGCATAGAATCGAAGGAAATTTTCTGCAGATCCCTCTACCCATAGTTCTGTTGAGCGACCGACCACGGAGCATGAAAAGTTATATAAAATTCTTCCGAACAATAAGTTAACCTGAAATTAGTGATGGATAATAAAGGAGCGTTTTCTTTCTCCTTTATTATCCATCACTAACTTCTAAATTGTCTCACAGCATACATAAGAAATTACAACAATTAACTTTCAAACATATTGGATTTTATAGATATTTTATTTCACATTTAAAGTTTTCTGACTATTTGAAATATGCATTTTATAGATAATAACTTCATAAAAATTGATTATACATTAAATTTATTTACAAGTTGAGGAAATAAATAATAGGTAGTAATCTTTACCTTAAATGCTACCCATTGTCCGTCTAGTTGATGATTAAAAGGAACATTTGCTGATGCTACAACGAATGATACGAACAGAGCAATAAATTTCATGATGATTCTAAAAAAAAATAGAATGAAAATTAGTTAGATCATCGTGAAAATGTGTCATTCAGGTAAATTGATGTGTCATTTTACAATTGTTTTATTGTTTAAATAGTGTTATCGGAGAGCTATAAAAACATCTATATGATAGGCATGAAAAATATGAGACTTTATTTTTGAAAATGGAAGTCAATATAGAGCTGAAGAGCGTTTTATTAATTTGATTTTTTTAGGACTTTAATAATCACTCTTGCATTGTGATGTTTCATCAAGTTATAGTGTTGAAAATCAGTTGACCTTTGCCTATATTTTTACATTCATTCAAACACTCATCTTTAAAAAACTTGAAAGTGGAAAAGATAATAAGACTTATTCCATTTTCAAAAATAACGGCACATATATTGATTCACCAGCACGTCAGAAACCTTCGTCATCCATCAGACAAGTTGCTGTCGGTCACTACTTAAATAGTTTATATCTTTATATGACAGATGCTACGGAAAGCATTAGTTAAGCGCAAATAGGTGAAGCAAATCAAAACTTGATTGAAGATTGAGAAATGAATAAATATCTTTGAACTAATATGTTTGAATGCATTTTATTATCCATGCTTACTTTTTTACAGTGCCGATGTCTGCAGGAGTTTTTTTCTCTTGACGATTAGGCAATAGCTACTACAGTGCCTAATTTTGGATTTATAAAATGTTTCTGAATTGTGAATAGGTAATAATGGTAAATGATATTTAAACTATCAGATTACACTATTAAAGTATTGATAACTTTACTTTAAAAATAAGATCTTCATAAATAAATGAATATGGGTAAAATTACTATACAATAAGTTTACAGTTCTAAACTAATACGGAATCTGATAACTTGAGCTAAATGAAACAAGAAGAAAAATGTGATTTATGTGCTGAGAAAAATAATATGGTCAAAAGTTACCAGAATATGGTAAAATTTACCATGTTTCTGACTCTAAGGAAGCTCCGAAACGCTCCGCTATTTTTACCGAAACGATTTGGTGATGATTTTAGTAAAATTAACAACATGATATCTGAAATAACATGATTTATTTCGTTAAACTTAGTTTTAGGCTTAGTAGTTTGTACTGAATCTGATGTGAAAAACAGAATTTTCCTATTATTATATTTTTCATATTATTTTCATATTACAAAAATAAAACAGTTATAATTTACTTAACTACTAAATTAATACAGCTTACCGAAATAGTCCATAAACGAGAAAGAAAACTTTTGATATGAAGTAAACAAGACTCTAAAGTTGAATGGCGTTGCCTTATCGGTGAATTGCAAAGTTATCATTTTCCGTGACAGAATGTTTGGTTGATTTATCTCTTATTCGGTAAAAGTTTAGTTCACTCGTACATCGCTCTCCACTCAATATTAACCTATCATGGAATCGTTATCACATAAATAAATAAAAAAAACTATGTACTTCTAAAATTTAATTTTTTCCCTTTGTTTCTTAATTTTAATTGAATGATACCAGTAAGTATGAAAGCTATAAAGTATATCAGTATGACTAAAATATATTTACAACATTTTAAATTTTAGGAAAAGGAGATGGTTAAGGTTTTTATGCGTACGAAAAATGGAGGATAGAAAATTTGAAATCATATTCTTGATGAGACTTATGTATACTAAGAAGGACAAAAAAAACAATGCTAGCAATATTTCAAAATAAAGTATTTTAAAGTGTTAAATTTGCAGTTTTTGTACTCTAGAAGGTTTCGTGGATTTCATTTCCAAATTACACAAATAAAGATCATAATACGAATACTATTCAACACAAATACGGAATTAGCATAATAACTTTTATTTATTTAGTTGTTTGCTTTTTATTTGTTACTTAGTTTATTCTTTTGTTTATTCTTTTGTTTATTTATTTACTTATTTATTTGTTTATTCGTTTGTTTATTTCTTTTTCCTTACTTGTTTGCTTGTTTATTTGTTTGTATGTTTGCGTATTCATTTATTTATTTAATTATTTATTTGTTTGTTTGATTACTTACTTATTTATTTCGTTTGATTTCCATGCGTTAATTTATGCATTAGTTTGTTTGTCTATTTATTCATTTATTAGTTTATTTATTTATTTGTTTAATGGTTTGTTTGTTTGCTTATTTATTTGTTTGTACATTTATTTAATTATTTATTTTCCTTTTCGTTTGATCATTTGTTTATTTATTTCTTTTTTTCCGAATACAACTAATTCAAACAATCAACAACCGCAAGAACAATTAATAAACAAACAATTAATAACAATTTTTTTCTTTCAATTTTTTTCCTTCAATTTTCAATTTTTTTCAGAAAGTTGAAAGACTGTAAAATGTCAAGGCAAAAGGCCACAAAGCTATTAAAATCACAAATCATGGAAAAACGGGAGAAAATAATATTCCTAAAATTGTACTTACTAAAATATTTGCTAAACCATTTGACGAATAATTAAACAAACTAACAATTTTTTTCTTGGCATTACGAATTGATACTTTCAAGTCACGCTTGAAAATAATGAGAGACTTCATTATAAAACAAACCCTTGATACGTGCCACCACTAATTAAACCTGAAATTATTGCTTAATAAGAATTGAAAGGATGAGTAAACGAAAGTTCTGAGGGACATATTAGTGAATATGAGTTAACTAACTCTTATGTTGACTAAAAGAATTAAAGATTATATGCCTTTCTTTATTTCTTGTCCACAAACTTCCGATAAGCGAGATTGTTAAATTTCTAATAATCAATTAAACTGAACGCATCCTTGCTTTCGGAAGATGATTTCTTATTTTCGTTTCATAATTCGTTTCCTAACCATTCTTATTTTCATTTCATTCCTCTTTATTGCTAGCAAACAGGAGGATTTCTAAAGTTTTTTGTCCGCTGACCTTAGCAAATACAATGGGAACATTTTAACGCCGAAAACATTCAAAGATAACCATTTAATGCTTTAATTCGTTAAAATATGTGAATATTTAAAGATTTGTTAAAAAAAATAATTAAAATAACTATTTAGCTAAATAAATTCTTTAGAAATCCCATTTTTTTTTAAAAAAGTCATGTGCTTCTGAAACTAAATGATACTCTTTATGTCAAATATATGTCAAAAAATTTAAATAAATAAATAAAAATGCTGCTGGTAGAATGTAAAAAAATCTTGCTCCGCACTTCGGGAGCATCATCCGCAAAATCCATTTTTACTGTAGATACAATTTTATTCCGTAATTTTTACGGAAATATTAATTTAATAAAAGTGATTCTGGGATTTTGTTTACTAAATTCCACAGTAAAAATTATGGTACATCAGACTCTTTGCTCCGTAAAATTTACAGTAAAATGGATTTTGCGGGAAAAAGGTATCAGCATATTGGAGAGCTTTATTTTTTGCCGTAATTTGATCCAGAATTTTTTACAATGCATAGGTGTATTTTTATAATTTTTTCCTGAAAGGGATACCAGTCATAAATGTGTAATGAATTTTTCATAAGATTCCAAGGACATTCCTTAAGTTTTAAGTTATGGAGTATGAAAAGAAAGAATGAAAAAAACGTTGAATTGATATAAATTAAGTGGTCTTTTGTGATAAAGCGAAATACTCTCTAGAATTCTAAGAAAGAACTTATGATAACACTCCTGTTACAGTTGAATCATGCAATCATATTTGAATATTTGCTGTTAAACAGATTTGAACTAACAATGTAGCACTTAATGAATAACAGGAAACAATTTCAGATTGTACTTAAATTTCCGATACAATACTTAAAACAGTTTCGCTTCATAAATTTTCATAAATTCTTATCAGAAGTTTCTTATAAACGGCTCCTTGAGATTAGGTTTTGATATCACTTAAGGGCTGCAATAGTGGCACAACTCAAAAAACACACGTTTTGAACTAAGAACAGGTGTAAATATGAAAATACACGTTCTTTCAGCAGCAATACTAGCACAACTCATAATTCAACTTGAAGGTAAGCAAACCAAACATTTAAGCAAACCAAACATTTAAGCAAACCAAACATTTAAGCAAACTAAAGCATTTCTTGTGCATTTTCCTTGCAATGAAAGCTTTAAACCCACTCATCTCAAAATATGATTTTTTGAGTTGTGCCGCTATTGTAGCCCATGAGCGATATATTTGGAACAAATACAAAGCTTAGTATTTTCTCAACGACGGTTTTTATAGTATTAAAATGATAAGTTGATGAAAACAAATAAATGCTTAAACAAATTAAAATTTGTCTCATAAAACCATTGTACCACAAATGAAGAAAAATTAATTTTTGCTTTTTATAAATAAATCTGAAACTAAGTGAAAAAGCGAGTCAAAAGCACAATGAAAAGAAACTGACTACGCATTCACTGTAATAAATTCTGAATCAAATTACGGTAAAAGTACAGGCGTTTAGGGTACCGGTACTTACGGTAAAATCCATTTTTACCGGAACATGTTACGGGGGAAAAAATCTAATCTGTGTTAATTTTTTACAGTAATAATTATCATAAAATTACCGGATTACTGTAATTAAATAAATATTACCGTAAAAATTGCGGTATAATTTATGGTAAAAGGTTTTTTTCGGTAAAATGGATTTTATGAATGATGCACCCAAAGTGTTGGTTCTTAATACCGTAATTAGATCCGGAATTTTTTACAGTGTATAAAGTCATTTCAGAATCTAATGAAAAATCTTTTCAAGAATTTGATATGATATTTCTTACAATTCATATACTTTTATCATGATATATCATATAACTTAAGAGCATGTCATAAAAAACATTTGTTCCGTTAAATTTACTTTCATGTTTTGTGTTTTTCATTAAATGTGTGGTAATAAGAATTATAATTTTAAAAACCAGAATTTTCGATAAACCGTTAGTATATGAATGGAAAAATTACCAAATAAATGCTTCAAACCGTAAATTTTTATTTTATCAACCAAATTTATATTGCGTTTTTTTTTCCCTTCAGAAATGTTATTACGGTAAGGTAATTTTACCAGAATTTTTTCCACCGTATACTTAAAAGTAATCTGAAGATTTTCTTAAACGAAATTCCTAAGAAAGTGTGAAAGTGTTTGTCCCACTTTTTAAACTAATTGCCAAACGATTTTTAATTGCATGCAAATTTCATTTTAAAGAGAAAATTTGGAACAAATTAAGAAATTTTTTGTAAAACATAAAATGCGTCGAATATCTTTAGCTCTTTTCTTCAGAATATACTTTTGTTAGAAGGCTTCAGATATTAGCTCATATTACTTAAAAAATAATAAATTAACGTACCTTTACAACAGCCAGCAGTCGAAACCAATACATGAAGGTAACAATGAGGTCAGGACTGCACACATAATTTCAAAAGAAAAATTAAGTTTTAAAATTAACTGAGAAATTGCAGCAAAAAGTCAACTTTTTTAAAAAATTAAAATTTTCTTAATATTTTACTATTTTAAACTAAAATCTGAAGATGACTTTTAGGGGGTTAGTTAAAGTTATTTTATTTTACTTTTTGTTAAAAGTGTTCGTTTATCTTAAAAGTGAAACCTTAGACAGAAAGTAGTATTTTTCCCTTTACACCTGGACCCTTTCCTCAAGCCTTTATCTTCGTAATTCTGTTTGAAGAAGTAACGAAACGGAGATAATGCTTCGCAACGTACATTGGTGATTCATGTGAAAGTACATTTATGGTTAATATTAAAATTAACATTAGATAAGAATTGGGTTGATAACATGACAGTGATAAGACATATAAATAAGAAAAAAAACTTCTCGTAAATAACATATTAATTCCTTGCTTTTCTACGGATCATATTACAGGTAAGATTTATTATTTGAAGTATTAAACTTCACACAATCGAAACTCAAAGCATTGAAAATTTCACATTCATTTATTTTATTTTTAATTTATGAGCATTTGCTAGTGTTTCGAAATGCTTCATGTAGCTAATAAGTACTTTTCACTTTCAATAATAAATTTTTAAAAGTTTCAAGTGTTCTATATTTTCATTGCCTTTATTTATATGTCAGATTCTAATTATATTACCAGAATTTCTAAGCTGTATTTACGTTAAAGTATTTTTAATTTTAATATGAATTTTTGCAGTTATGCTGTAATTTTATGGTGTTTTTCTAATATATTACTAATTAGTGAATATATGGAAAATTTTATTTAATGAATGATTTATTATCTTATCTAATTTTTGTAAAAAAGACTAAGTCTTATAACTTATATTTTAATCTTATATATAATTCTTTAATCTTAATAAAATTTTAATCTTAACCTTAGTCTTATAATATTTTAAATACTGTTTTTGACCTAATTTAATCGATGTGTTTTGTTGTTTTTAGTGTAAAATCATAATTCTCAGTCAGATTAATAGAGTACTCATTAATTTAAGTAAAAAATTAAATTTGGTTGAATCCATTTTATACTAGTTTTAAATTCAGTTCACTGATTATTCTAGATAAATCATGAAGCTCTACGCTTTACTTCTCGTTTTTGCTGTTGCTTCTGCAAATTTTATTCCATTTGATTCACAGTTGGATGAACATTGGGAAAACTTCAAGGTAAGACAGAAAACTTTTTTATAGGATTTCAATATACAGTAATTTGCTTTGCACTTTAATGTGTTTGAAAATCAGATTGTTTTAACCAACAATTACCATACAATTACCATAGTTAATTAAAACTTTGTTACCCTTTTTTGAAGACAGAGACGTGCATTAGAAAGATTAGAATTATCATTCTGTTGTGAGTTGCATTTGACTGCTTAAAATTAAAACTCTATCTATTTTTTTTAAAATTTATATTCAAGGTTCTTATTGAATTAGGAGTGCTTCTAAATTTCATCGTTTTTATAATGATATATTTTTTTAAATTTAAAATGCTCCGCCTACCGGGTGTATGGTGGTCAGGGATCTGACCTTAAGTCAGAAAGGTCCAGAGTTCGAATCCTGAATAAGGCATGGATGTTCTTTCCTTCTTTTCTCTGTACTATCTGCCCCTCTCATTATGGGAGCAACATTAGTCATCCTAATACAGGGTGTTTCATATTGAATGGGACAAAAAGAATAACGCAGTGTGACTTCCGTAATGGATTTATTCAGCCGAAACAAATTTGTTCTGCAACTACAATTGTACAAGTTTTATTTGGCAACAGGGAAAAATCATCGAATGACGAACTCGTCACTAGAGGAGCTGTCAAACAAAATGCCGTCCATGCAGGAGAAAGCGTACTGCGTTTTCGAATATGCCAAAACCTCCTCGGTAACTGTTGTGCAAAGACATTTTCGCACGAAATTTCGTAAAGAACCATCGCATCGGCATAACATAAGCAGGTGGATGAAGCAGTTTCAGAATACCGGAATCTTATGCAAGAATAAACGAATCAGAATACTTATGCAGAACAAAAGCCCAGGACGAAAAGAAACAAAACCCGAAGTGGTTGAAGGAATTCTTGATTCGCTTTTACGGAGTCCCTCAAAATCAGCGCGACGGGCAAAACTGGCAGTCCCTCACACAACGGTGTGGCGTGTTTTACGGAAGCGTCTCCAATTCAAGCCATGCAAATATCAGATGGTCCAGGCTTTAAAACCTACTGACAAACCTTTGCGCAAGAATTCCTGTGTGAAATTTCAAGAAAAAACTCACGTGAATGGTTTCGAGAACACACTGGTGTTTACCGATGAAACCACGTTCCGCTTATGTGCCAAAGTTAATCGCCATAATTTGCGATCTTGGGGCACGGAAAATGCCAGTGTAACATTAGAACATCAGCGTGATTCTCCCAAGGTGAACGTTTTCTGCGCTTTATCAAACAGTTGTGTTTTTGGTCCATTTTTCTTTGCTGAAAAATCGATTAATGGGGACATTTACCAAGACATGCTCTCTGAGTGGTTGCTCCCCCAGCTGGAGGAAGCTATTCCTGATTTAATTTTGCAGCAAGATGATGTTCCCCCACATTGGAATAACAACGTACGTGAGTTCCTGAACGAACGTCTACCCCATTGCTAGATTGGTCGTGCTGGACCACAGGATTTGACATGTCTTCATTGGCCGCTGAGATCACCAGATCTATCACCCTGTGATTTTTTTCTCTGGGGTTTCATTAAAGACAAGGTGTTTGTGCCTCCACTTCCTTGGGACTTAGAGGAACTGAAGCAGCGTTGAACTACATCACAGGGGATATGCTATCACGAGTGTGGCAGGAGCTTGATTACCGTGTAGACATTTGTCGTGTCAACGGAGGGGTACATATTGAACACCTGTAGAAACTTGAATAAATGTAGTTTTGAGGTAAATTTGAATTTTCTAAATATATTAATTATAACGTTTATAGTCATGTTTTCTTTTTGCCCCATTCAATATGAAGCACCCTGTACTTTGCCCCTGAAAGAGTGGTCAAGAAATCTGCCCTTCTAATACCCGAATAATTAAAGCCAATATCTTGGTGGGCATTGGAAAAAAATTAAAATGCACTTAATTGTTTTGTCTTGCCTTTTATAACGAACATTAATCAATATTAATTATTATACAATAAAATCATAATATTTATTAAAACAAATAACTTAGTGAAAATAGAAACTTTGAAAAAAACTCGTGCAGAATTCATAAACAAAAATGATATTTTTAAAATCTCAAATTTCATCTCTGTAGTTGCAGTTCTATGTTCTGCAGAGTATCCCACGTGGTATTTTTATTGCAAGTTTAAAAATTAATAATTCTTGGACTAATCATCAAATGTTTATTTTTTAGTTTCATCGTACTTCCTGCTCATGTTTCTGCATATTCTCATAATTTCAAGTTTCTAAATTTTATAATTAATACGCAGTATAACAAAATACAGCGTAAAGTTGAACATTACCGAAACAACAACAGCGGTTCTTACAATTTTTGATATAGAGCGATAAACTGGTTTAGAATTACATTAGACAGTTTTAAATATTCCTTACGGTCATTTTCTAGTTGATTTGTGGCTACGTATTTNCCAATTTTGAAATAAACTAGTGGAATGTATGCTTTATGAGGAATAATTTTAGGGCGCAACATTCGTTTCGGCCCATAGAAGGTCCTGTGAGAGATAAAAAATAATTCAGTATATAGAAAAATCCGTTTTTTACTACTTCAAAGCAGACTATTAGTTATTGTAATTGTCTCATAATCCGATTAATTTGTAATTAATTTGATAATTAATTAATTTGCTAACTAATAAATTACTCAGAAAATTAATTAATTATTAATTAATTGCTAATTAATTATTAATCAATTGCTATTTAATTATTAATTAATTAATTGATTTGCAATTACATACTCCAATTAATTTGGAAAGTTTTTTTAAAAAAAAGTAAAAAAAATTGATGTCAATTTTTTTTTTTTTAAATTAACCTAACAGGTTTTTCTGAAAAATTACAGATATATAAAATTTTCGAAATCAATTTTGGCAATAAATATGCATTATATAGTACGTGAAAGTACCACAAATTTAATTGGAGTATGAGACAATTACAATAACTAATAGTCTGCTTTGAAGTAATAAAATACCGATTTTTCTACATATTGAATTATTTTTTATCTCTCACAGGACCTTCTATGGGCCAAAATGAATGTTTCCTCCTAAAATTATTCCTTATAAGGCATACATCCCACTAGTTTATTTCAAAATTGGCGAGTCACACTTCCCTAGTTTCCCTTGTTAGAGGAACTGAAGCAGCGTTGAACTCCATCACAGGGGATATCCTATCACGAGTATGGGAGGAGCTTGACTACCGTGTAGACATTTGTTGTGTCACCGGAGGGGTACATATTGAACACCTGTAGAAACTTGAATAAATGCAGTTTTGAAGTAAATTTGAATTTTTTAAATATATTAATTATAACGTTTACAATCATGTTTTCTTTTTGTCCCATTCAATATGAAACACCCTTTACTTTGCCCCTGAGAGAGTGGTCAAGAAATCTGCCCTTCTAATACCTGAATAATTATAGTCAATATCTTGGTGGGCATTGGGAAAAAATTAAAATGCCCTTAATTGTTTTGTCTTGCCATTTATAACAAACATTAATCAATATGAATTATTATAAAATAAAATCATAATATTTATTAAAACAAATAACTTAGTGAAAATAGAAACTTTGAAAAAAACTTGTGCAGAATTCATAAACAAAAATGGTATTTTTAGAATCTCAAATTTCAGCTCTGTAGTTGCAGTTCTATGTTCTGCAGAGTAGCCCAAGTGGTGTTTTTATTACAAGTTTAAAAATTAATAATTCTTGGACTAATCATCAAATGTTTATTTTTTAGTTTCATCGTACTTCCTGCTCATGTTTCTGCATATTCTCATAATTTCAAGTTTCTAAATTTTATAATTAATACGCAGTATAACAAAATACAGCGTAAAGTTGAACATTACCGAAACAACAACAGCGGTTCTTACAATTTTTGATATAGAGCGATAAACTGGTTTAGAATTACATTAGACAGTTTTAAATATTCCTTACGGTCATTTTCTAGTTGATTTGTGGCTACGTATTTGAACCAGAGTCTACTATCAGGTCTTTAAAAAAATATAGTTTTTAAACAAAAGCATTACCACATTTCATTACTGAAAAATTACTGCATTTTATGTTTTGTACTTTTAAGAATAATTTTTTGTGTTGGGACAGTAAAAAAGAATTATTAAACAACACAATTCTTGCTTTTTACAGAATATTGAATTAACTGTCAAGTAAAATAAAAAGCACATTAATGAAAAAATTAAGTATTATTTTTAACCTTATATTATTTTTTAACCTCATTTCTATTTCTGAAATTAATGTTCTGTAATTTGTTCACACACAGACGATCAAAGAGTATCAGCAAAAACTACAAAAAACTAAATTGGAATATTAAAAGCAACTTATTCGTGAAAGATTTTGTATTATTTTTAGCCTTACATTTGTTAATCAAATTATTCCACTTTTATAAAATGTTTTATGTGAAATATTGTAAAAGCTATAAGTTCATTTCAATTTTTTCAGAAAACTTTTGGAAAACACTATCATGGACGTGAGGAAGTAGGCAGAAGAATTATTTGGGAAGAAAATATTGCAGAAATTATTCGTCATAATTTGCGAGCTGATATGGGACAACATAAATATACAAAAGGCATCAACGAATATTCTGACCTGGTATAAATATTTTTGATTTTGAGATAATATTTTGATTTGTGTACATGTTTTTCAATATGCTTTAATATAAAAACGAAAAAATATGTTTATCACATACATCATGAATTTTTTTAAACATAAACTTAACATTTTACGATCACTTATTTATGCATTTAATAATAGATATTTTAAAATTTTACTTGAAATAAACTGTAACTTTCTCTTTTTGGATATTTTTCACAAATCTTATGCNTACATCATGAATTTTTTTAAACATAAACTTAACATTTTACGTTCACTTATTCATGTATTTAATAATAGATATTTTATAACTTTGATTGAAGTAAACTGTAACTTCTTCTTCTTAGATATTTTTCACAAATCTTATACACAAATTTAATCATTAAAATAACAGAAAAAAGTCAAAATGTTAATTTATGAATTCTTTACTAAATGTATCTTTTTTCACCAAGAAACGATTTTGTTTTTAAAATTGTGGAATAAATTACTATTTTATCAAAGCAGATCATGTTATGCAAACTGTTATTAAAATAACAATTATTATCCTTAATTATGCATGTTGGGTTATCTTTTATTATGCATGTGTAATGTTGAATATTTAATTTTAGTTACAGTGGCGCTCACGTACTTATGGACATATGCTTGTGAAAAGTAAAATCAGAATTTTATTTTCAAGCATAAGTTTATTGAATTGATAACTATGTATTGGAACAAATAACTTATTTTTAATATATTTTCACGATTAAAATCATTTATCTAACTGTTATACTTAAATTATGTAACATTTTAGAAAAAATATGCATTCCGCATAATTAAGGACAACAAAATAAATATTTCTTAATCATTAATAAAATTAATGACAATGTAAAAAGTGTAACTAAAAATAAAGATTTGGAGCTAGTATTTAGTCGGCAAGCCTTTTGAGGCAATTACTACTTCACATCTACGAGGCATCGAATGTATTAATCTTTGACATCGCTCAGGAGGTATAGCTGCCCAGCCTTCTTGGACACATTTCCATTAATCACCTAAATTTTTTGGTTTTTGCTGTTTCACATATTTATCCACATCTATCCACAGCATCTCGATCGGATTGAGATCTGGTGATTGGGAAGGCCACTGCAAAACCTCAATTTTCTTGCTTGACAAGAAGGCCTTCGCAGTTTTGCTCGTGTGCCTTGGATCATCATCGGCTTGCATGATTGGTTTTCTTGAGCGAAGTTTCCTGTAATAAGGCAGAAAAACAGTCTTGATAATGTCCACATACACATGCTGATCCATGATGCCTTCGATTTTGTGAATTAGACCACATCCTGAACGTGTCCAAGCACCCCACACCATCACCGAGCCACCTCCACCTTTTACAGTTAATTTCGTACACCGTACATTAAATTCTTCACCGACTCGAAGCCTCACACAACTTTTGTCATCTGATCCCATTCTGTTGAACTTCGATTCGTCTGTAAATGTAACTCGATTCCAGTCAGCCGATGTCCAGTTTCGGTGTCTTATTGCAAAAGCTAATCGAGCTGCTATAGTCTTCTTTGACATCAACTGTTCTGTCCTACATACGCGACCCATAAGCCGAAACTCATTTAAACGCCGTTTGATGGTATTATTGTATACGTGCTTGCCTGTTAATTCAGCGAATTCTTTTCTGATGTCCGGGGCGGTTTTGTGACGATCAGCTTCAGAAATTCGATGAATAATTCGATCTTCTCGTTCGGTAGTTTTGCGAGGACGTGGTTTTCGGGACACTTTTTCAATACTTTGGTCACTTGAATGGATTTCAATGCTCGGAAAACTGCTGTTTTTGATAATTTTAACCGCCTACCAATTTCTCTAATGCTTAAACGTTCTTTTCTCAGAGTATCTATTCGGCATCTCTGTTCATTGCTAACATTTTTTCCTTTACTCCTAATAATGTTGAAATTTGTATTAAAAAAATGAAAAAAAATATTAATATAATGTTTAAAGCATCAAACAAAGATAATGTAGTAAATTACACTTACATTGATCGATAAGTTGATTGTAATCATTCAATAATTCATGATTTGACAAACTGTCCTTAAGTATAAGACACTTAACAAAATACTATATTTTTTAAATAAACTTTTATGAAGCACTTGTGAACACGAATGAATTATTTTAGGATTGAAGTTCAACTAAGGTAGAATTCGTCATTATAGATATCTTGATTAAAACATAACATTCATCCAATATAATGACGCATTTATTTTGAAAACACAATCCTTAAGTACGTGAGCGCTACTGTAATTCACGTTAAAATACTCGATACTATATGCGTCATAAGATGTTAAAAAAGCAGTTATTTTTTTATAAATTACAATTAAAATATTTTTTAATTTATACTTATTAAATGCTCGTTATCGATAGTCCAATGGTAACAGAGTAGATCAAGACTTTCTTTTGACGAGATTTCGATCTATTCATCTGTCTGACAATGATCCGGCATAGTCAACTGACAACTGAAAGGTCGTTTTCAAAAAAAAAAAAAAAAAGGGANTCAAAAAAAAAAAAAGGTATTTTTGTAAACAATTTAAAAAAATTAAACTAAACTTCAGTAATTTAAATTCCTTTGTTGTTTGCTTGTAAGAGTAAACTTTTAAAGAAATCAGCTCAAAAATATTTTTTTTTTAAATCTAGAAAAAATGTTTAAAAAACAGTGTTTTTTAAATCTAATTTTTATATGCTGGGCATTTATAAATATGTAATTGACAATAAATTTGTAACAGTATTAAATTACTTAGTTTGGAGTTAAAAGCGCAACAGTCAATTGTGGCTTCATTGCCCTTAGTGTATATTAAAATGTGTCCCTATTGTAAGGATTTTACATTAATTTTTTAATAAGGTTTCATTTCAAAAAACAAAATTTATGAAATTAAATGAATTTCTCTAGAGTCACTCGGAATTTGTGAAAATGTTTAATGGATTCAAGAGCAGCAACCTCGAGAACAAAAATGGAAGCACCTGGTTAGAACCACTAAATGCCCAAATACCTGATAAAGTTGATTGGAGAGATCAAGGATTAGTTACACCAGTTAAAAATCAAGTTAGTTCTTTCAGTTAATATATTTTAATATTGTGTAATTCTTTAATTTCTTAGGAAAATATTTTCGGGTATTAGGCATCTTTTAAAATTAATTAGGGAGAAAATGTGGATGTACAGCTATGATTACAAGTAATTTGCTTTCTTCTTTGTAATATATTAAAAAAAACTTTTTTTCCTATTATACATTCATATCTGATAAATAGCAAAAACGAAATAATCAAATCGCGTAAAAATGAATAGGAGAATATAATAAATAGATAAAATTTATTCAGAATTGAAAATAAATGAATATTTACTAAAACCCAATTGTGCACTTAGAAAAAAAGTATGGTCAAAACTACCAGAATATGGTATAATGTATCGTGTTTGAGGGCTGTATGGAAATACAGAAAAACTAGGTAATTTTTACCAAAGCGCTTTGATAAGGAATTTTGCAAAATTAACAATATATGTTTTAAAATGCTAATGTGGTAAATTCTGTGATTTTTTAAAAATAATTTAGTCGGTTAAATTTAATTATCAATTTTGTATTTTTTATTAAATGTGTGGTAATAAAAAACTATAATTTTGAAAACCAGAATATCCGGAAAAACCGTTACTATATCAGTAACTGTTACCATATGAATGGTTTAAATACCGTTTACTTTGGTTTTTATAACTCGAATTATGGTTTTATTTTACCGGAAATATCATTACCATAGAGTACGGTAATTTTAGGAAACTTTCAGTGTAATTTTAGGAGATTTTTCAGTGCGTATATCATTCTTTGAAAACATGGTTAGTTTTTGAAAAAGAAAAAAATAAGTAACTAAAGTGTTTCATTGTTCAAATTTATTTCTCAGAGACAATATTGTTCGGTTTATCGCAATATATTATTAATATAAACATTTATATTTTTTTGTCAAATCAAAGCACGCTGCTTTTCTTTTAAAAGTGAAGTAGTAGATTACAGAAATAAATATCCAGTTTGCATAAACAAATATGAGCCGTCAATTTTGTCGATAAAGGTACGTTTAACATATAGACCCTTTTTCGAATCTAAGCATTAACGAGCTAAGAGTGCCGGAGAAAATGAGTCACACAACTGTGTCCTTTTTTTAATTCTATTTTAAAAAAATATACTTGAAAAAATCAAAAAAATAATATGTGAGTGCTGTTTTTTTCCGCTGTTTCTTATAAATGGTTTATAAAAATGCACGTTCAAAGTATTTATTTTTTTTTCAAAGCAAATTATCATCTATTGTACAGTGAACGAAAAAATAAACCACCCTGAATAACTTTTGATCTAATAATCGGATCTTCACGTTCCAGGATTCAATCTTAATGGTTCAAGTGGGTGATCTTAAGTATGCTAAGTAATTAGAGCAAACTATTAACTAAGTTCCGAAATCAGACACAAAAACGTACTTTCTTTGAAAAAGCATTGAAGTATTCTTTGAAAAACTTTGAAAAACATTGCATTTTTTTTCGAAGAATTTGGACTTCTGACCCCCAAAATATAGGGAGGTAACCTCAATTTGGGAAAAAACCGTTTGGTGTGGTAGAGAGGATGCAAAGTTTGAACCCCTTAATGTTAATTTTACTTCTGACGTATTTCGCCATATCTCGAGTAACTTTTAGAGAATTTAAAGATTTTTGCACACAATTATAAAACTCATTTACCTAAAAGTAATTCCATACAAATAAATAAAATTTATTGAGTAGGGGAGAGTGGGGTCAATTGTAACATTTTTTACTTAACTATTTTTAACTAACAAAAAATTCAATATATTATTAGTATTAATTGGCAAACGAGTAAAGTAGACTATCCTCTACTGGAAAAAAAAACCTTATTTTAAATGTTATTATATTAGTTATTAACAATTTTTGACAGTCGTGCACTTGTTACAATTGTCCCCACTTACGGGGTCAATTGTAACAGTTCATAAATTCAACTAAAACATAGTTAATTATACATATTATCATAGTTGTGATATATTTTTTTATTGATCAAAATAGTAGTGATATTTTAGGAGTAAAAATAATAATGAGCAGAGGCCTAAAGTTTTAAACTTTTAACTTTAAAGGGTTAAAAATTTTAATTGATGCTGTGAAAGGTGACAAATAAAATAATGCACATGCAACATAATATAAATGATATAGGAAACTATTGGTGGTTCTTAAAGAGTTAAGTAATGGTTTGTAAACATAAGATTATTTGTTTTCAGCTGTTACAATTGTCCCTTTATTTATTGTTACAATCGTCCCCAAGACGCCATTTCAGCTTCATTTGTTAAAAACAATGCTAGTTAATTAACAAAGCTAATCTTTTTTTTTGTATTTTTAATTAAGGTGTCCACTTACATATTCGGTTAATAATTTTTATTTGTTTAAACAAAATTACTTTGTTACAATATAATATTCTAATACCAAAAAAAGTACTTACTTGGCGTGAAAATATCTTTTGTGATGTAACTCTTTCAAAAGTACATAAAAATGGTTGCCAGCAGGGGTGTACATTTATTAAATACACCTTGTGCGCCACCTAGGAACCAAATCTAGAACCCGACACTCGAAATTTTTGCTCTGTTACAATCGTACCCTGTTACAATTGACCCCACTCTCACCGTATGTATTATTTTTTATTATTTTATTTAATAATAGTCGAAAAGATTTTGAATTGTAAGGTATACAGTATTTTTACATCATTTTAAAGAATGTTATTTCAAATGACGAAATACAAAAGTTGGGTGAAATCGGTAAATAATTTTAACTGAAAAATCATCTTTTGCAAAAGTCATATTTTTTAAAAATTTGATTTCTCAGAAACTCTTCGACAGATTTTGCTCAAATTTTGTATTCTACAATTTGAAAAATATATTCTTTGAAATGATGTACAAAATAGTATTCTTTACAATTCTAAATTTCTTTCACTTATTATTAAATAAATCAATAAAAAATAACAAATACTCACTAAAATTTATTTTTTGCATGGAATTATCTGTGGCTAAATGAATTTTATAATTGTATGCAAAAAGCTCTTCTTGACAGAACAATTGGGACCATATTTTCCAGATTGAAGCTACCTCTTATATTTTGGGGATCAGAATCTGTCTGATCTGTTGGGAAATCAATCTGTACTTGGGAATCTGAATCTGTTGGGAAAAAAGGTATGTTTAATTAAAAAAAAAGTACGTTTTGTGTCTGATTTCGTAACTTGAACTATCGTTTGCACTAATTATTTAGCATATTTGGTCCGTTTTTAATTTTGCCCTCTGTACGTACGCTCTTCACCAAAATATTCAAATGTTCAATTCGCTTCATTTCGCGTATATCTCTTATAATTCTTTTTTTAAAGTACTTAATACAAACTCTTTGAAACCTAAAGTATATCTTTGGACCCTTTTAAACCTAAAGTATAACTTTTAGAACGAAAAAAAAACAGTAAAAAAAGGTTTCTTATCTGTTGCACTTCATCTTGAAATGTAATCTAGATTTTAAGAGAATTTTAGTATCAGTTATCGCAACAGTTTCAAGTGCAAGTAATTTAATACTCTGATAGCTATATTTTAAAGGCCATCACACGGAACTATTTTCAGATTTATATTTATTTAACATATACAGTCTAGTATTTGCTTAATAGATTATATTTTAATTATTTGTTTTTATTCACGAAATTATAACATATATTTCTTAGATAAGATTAGTAAACTTTCACCTTTTGTATTTATGTTTCACTTAATCTGAAATTGAATCAAATTGCATTAATACTTTTCAGCTTTGAATACCAATATGTATTTGTGAAAAGTTTTTATTTATTTAATCCAAATAAAATTCAGTACATTGGATAATATTTATTAGTAATATAAAACTACTGATTATGATATTGATATCCATTTTGTGTTTGTGTTGTAACGAATCAAGCTACATTAAAGAAACAGTTTTTTTTTTTTTTTTTTTTTTTTTTTACAAAAACACATTTATTTGACAACAATGCATAAACTAAGTAAAATTAAATTAAAATACTCGTAACGGGTAAGTAATAATGCAACCTTGCTATAACATAATTATAAAATTATAACCTAATGAATAATGTAACCACTGGGATAATGGGATAATGGAATATTGGAAATGAATAATGAAATGCGGGCAGACTATATTTGAGGGTGCCCCTTGATTCTCGCCAAGTTTTAATCGCGGTTGATTGCCAAGCTGGGCGATGTTGAAACCCAGTCGTGATTTTGATTGATTTAGATTTTAGCGCTATTTTTAAATGTTCAACGGTATACGAAATTTCAGAGGTCCGTCAGTTCTAGGTTGGATACCGGCTGGTAAGGTTACTTTTGTTTCTGTTCCTAAAAATGACAACAATAAATAAGATAAATCTTGAGTTTCTGTACGATTTGAATAACAATGGAAAAAAAGCAGTGATTGACTGGTGTATGAATGAAGGTTTAATTAGTAATAGATATAAATGTCCTGTTTGTAGGAGTTGCTTTTTTTTCCTTTTCTTTCTGTGCTTACTCCATTAATTTTGTTTTGATTCAAAATGCATTTTATTGGGTTTATTAATTTTGCTTATATTAGGATCATTGCAATTTTATAAAGATTTGGCCGATGTTTTGTTGAAATTTTCCAATGTTTTATTGAAATATCATTATGTTTTGGCCGCCATTCCTGTTACCACAGCGTTCCGCGCAAACAGGAATGGCGCGAAACTTAAGTCGCCAATTTCGACAAGGGGCACCCTCAAGTATATTTTTACCAATGAAATAAATGGAAAACCCCGTAGCGGGTTAGTATAAACCTTAAATTCAAAACAAAAACTATTCTCATCAAAAATCAACTACTCTTTGATGTCCCATAAAATGTCTCGTTGTTTTATTTTTCATTTATCTCGTTATATGCTTTTTGTAATCATGTTTTTGTTAGCCAAATATTTTTTTAAATATTTTTAGACTTTATAGTGTTTTTAAATGTTACAAATATTTTAAAACTAAATATTAATTCGAGATCGGAGCGAACTATAGGGGACGTTGTTGTATGAGACGAATTAAAGCGATTTCCATAAGAACAGTCATTCAGTTGCTCTGGAGACGTCTTTAATGTAGCGTGTAGCATTGTAACGCTCCTTTTTTATTATGGCTTATTAAATTTAAAAAAGGAAAATGTTTGATATTCTTTCTTATGCAAGTGAAAACAAAATGGTATCTCTTTTTTTTTAGAGAGAAAGATCATCCAAAACACATTGGAAAAATATTTGTAAATAAACAGAAGAAAATATATATACAGGTATCTTCTNTTATTAAATTTAAAAAAGAAAAATGCTTGATATTCTTTCTTGTGCAAGTGAAAACAAAATGGTATCTCTTTTTTTAGAGAGAAAGATCATCCAAAACACATTGGAAAAATATTTGTAAATTAACAGAAAAAAAAAATATATATATCTTCTTATTAGAGTTAAAACCTAATGCCTCCGAAATCGATTTACTAAATTTAATAATATAACATGAAAAACCTATTCAAACTTTACATTCCATGGTTTTATGAATCATATTACTTCAAAAAGTATACATAAGCCCATAATTTTATTTCATTTAATTTTGCAAAAAAAGATTTTCGACAACAGTTTTTATTAAAAAAAATTTAAGTTTCAATAAAAATCATTATTTAGAAACTAAAAAGAGCAAAATAAAAAATGTTTACGAAAGAAAAATAGATTCTAAAAATTCCTCAAATTAAAATAAAAAAACTTTCATATTTTTTTAAATCTTGATCTGACGTAGAAAACCATTCTATGGAGAACTATCATCAAATTAGAAAAACGAAATTATTCATAAGTAAATTTTTTATTATAAAAATCATAACACTTACCTGATTTATAAATCCGGAGAATTCCAAAATGATATGTTCTTCGTTTAAAAGCTTTATTCTCAAATAATATATACATAGATTATCCCTTCATTACTTTAAGATGACATACCGCACAATAAAATTTTATAATAGCAAAGATCTCGATATAAACTTAAAAACAGAATAGCTGAATTCCAGTCATTCAAAATTAATCATTCAAAATTAAAAAATACTTACAAAGAAAACGATAAAAAAAATTTAATAATCAGCACAAATGACACTATTTCAAGTAATTCGGATGATTCTTTACTGCTGTTTTTCGAATATTATAGATACAGAAACATTGCATACTATTCTATAAAGAGGAAGAATATTCTATAACTATTACAGTTCCGTCCATTCTGAAATCACATTTATTTGTTGGAATGAAGTAAGCAATGTTGACTTCACTTCAATTTGTAATGAATAGAAGACAACAAAAAAAAATTATTTTACCCGTAATACACACATCTGTAACAGCAAGCGATCATGAAATCGGAAGTTATGTTGTTAATAGTAGAAAGGTAAAAACTATTGAGAAATTCTTCAAATATTGGGATTTTTCTGTTTCGGAAAGACTTACCGATGTTCAGGATCGTTTTTCAAGTTCTTCTGCCTTTTCCTTATGGAAATTTTGTTTCTTATTTGCTGCTAAGAAAATGGCGTGCGACATTGCCAATGTTTATGATAGAACTAAATGCCTGATATTTTCAGGCTCCCGCCAGAGGGCGTACTCAAGCGTTTGCGATCGCGAATTATAAAACTGAATACTTATTTTGTAATTAAATATCTATTTTAAAATTAATTATTTATTTTGAATTTGAAGATCAAATTAAAACTGTTTTTTTTTAAAAGAAAGATATTTCATCAAAGTGACTCGATTAATAAATAGAAATAATATAACAGCACACTGTTTTCAAACAAGTAAGAGTTAAATCTATGTCTTAATTTAACAATTACCTGTTTTAAATAAATAATCTCAAGAAACAAAAGCGGTAAGTTTTTAAGTTTTTATAGGATTAAAAACTGCATTGGCTTCAAAAATTTATAAATAGAAAATAACACCCGTCATGTTTTAAGCACTGAAAAACAGACTACAATTTTCAAGATTAGCCAGACTTAAATGAGACGAAACTACTGTAATGAGAGAAACCGTAAACTCAATTTTTACCGGAACATTTTTTCGAAACAAAAATCTGCAAACCGTAGTTTTTACAGTAATAATAACCGTAAAATCACTGAATCACTCTAATTAAATAAGTATTTGTATAAAAATTATAGTTTAATACTGTAAAAAAGGATTTTACGGTAAAATAGATTTTACAGTGACGCACCCAAAGTGTCGGTGCTTCGAAGCGTAATTGATCCGGAATTTCAACTCCAACTTGAAACATAAAAATATTTTTGAAAATTTAAAATTACATAAAAATATCTAATATTTTTTAAATTAATATATTGAGTCCTTTTTTAAACATTTTATTATCACAATAAAATTTTATAAAATAATTTTAATAAATTTATTAAATGCATCAACTTCATTTTTAATTAACGTCATAGTTATAAATTTTTGAACTTGTCACACCGACAAGAAATTTTATAATATTTACTTAAGTAACCTCAAACATATTTTTTTCCAATGCCTCCCAGATATTGACTTTCATCATTCGGGTATCAGAAGGGCAGATTTGTTGACTTCTCTTTCATGGATACCATACTAGGTGGACCGACCTTGCTCCCACAGTAGAAAGGATAAATGGTACAGAAACGAGAGAATGAAAGAACACCCATGCCTTATCCGGGATTTGAACCAGGGACCTTTCTGCCTTGAGGTCAAAAAGGTCCTAGTTCTAAAACTAAATTCTCTCTTTATAGTATTTTATATTTAGTCTTATATTAGTCTCATATTTAGTCTTTTGAGCTGAAACCAAATGATTTTGCTATAGAGCGAGAAAGTTTTTGTAGTTTCAGAATAATACAAAATGTATTAAATTACTTCTTATAAAAGAAATTACTTTCATTACAAATTTTCAGAAATTTTCGTTATGTTGCAGAAACAATGTGGTTCTTGTTGGGCTTTCTCTACAACTGGTTCGCTTGAAGGACAACATAAGAAAAAAACTGGTCAACTTATATCTCTCAGTGAACAACAACTTGTTGATTGTACCCGATCATATGGTGAAAATATTAAACTTGCCTATTTTTATTAGTGCTGCCTTGCTATTTAGAGAAATGGGTTATTAAAAAGATTAAATATATCTTTAAAAACATTGACTACTTCCAAGAATGCTTTTCGGTAATTTTCGCTATCCTTCTTACGCTTTAATGCACTTTACTTTTTTTTTTCAATTGAAATGAGATCTTTGTAATTTTGATTCTGCTTTACTTTTCTAAAAACATCAGTCAATTCATCATTTCAAAGGTAGTTTTCTAATAGTTCTCCAATGTATCAAGACAACAGGAATATATTTATAATTTGGTTTTCTTTCTTGTAAAAAGTACACAGGATAGCAGAACATATTTTCCTAAGAACAGCGTAAGTAACTTTATCGCAAACTACTCTGGGGAACAAATTGTTTTGTTGCATTTATACAAATGCTTAATCTTCCCTAATTCGGCTATGGGGATTTCAAACCAGAAGTTATTTTGTTTTTAAAAGTACATATTTTTTAAATGACATTTTTAGCCTATTGTTTGTCGAAATGTTCAAATTTAAAAAAGGTATATGTAACAGAGAGTCGCGTAAATGTTGCGACCACTTTTTAGGGAAGTTAAGGCGCATCGTCAAGATTAAAATTGCATAAAAATCCATATCCGGAAACGTCGTTGTACGCCGCTAGGGCGTCTTCCTATCTAAAAACTGTTGCATACGAACAGAAGCATGCGAAGAAACAGTTTATAAAAAGAAACGCCCCTAGTGGCGTTTGATGATAGTTGTGGACATGGTTTCCTTTACAACTTTTATCCTAATATAATAATTTTAAATCTGAAATTAATTTTGCTCTTAAAGCTACAGACTTTTTAAATGACATTTTTTGCCATTTTTAGTTGAAAAACAATATATATAGTAGAGGGTCACCTAAATGTTGCGACAAACTACTAAGGAAGGTAGAGCACATTATCAGAATTGAAATTGCATAGGATACCGTGGCCAAAATTTTCACCTTATGAGACTAGGAGCCTTTCCCTGTTATGATCTGTTCTGAAGTGCACGAAGAAAAAAGCTCATAATAGAGAAGCGCCCCTAACGGCGTATGGCGACATTTTAGGAAATGAGTTCCTATGCAGTTTCAACCCAAATGATGCACCTTAACTCCTTTAGAAGTCAGCCGCAACATTTACGTGACTCTCTATTATATATAACGTTTTTAAACGTGTACATTTCAACAAAACATAGACTAAAATCGCATTTTTTTTTTAAAAAAAAAAGTAACTTGGTGAGAGAAACCAATTGCAGATTTAAAATCAGCAATACAACAATTTCTAAGATCAGCAAATAAATTCTCGTGTACCAGAAAGCAAAAAGAAAAAAAATTGTTCCCCAGTGTTATTCTTAAACACACTGTGGAAAAATTGGATAAAAATCTAATAAATTGAATAAAAAATTAAAAAAATTAAATAAAAGTAATCGAATGAATTAGGTTCAGGGTGAGAACAATCCAGGTGAGAACAATATTTTAGAATTGGATAACGAACCTATTCTCCCTCTTATTAAGTATGCAGAAAATTATTAATATGATTGTATAATAAATTACTAGTCTTTCTAATTTATATCGTTTCTGTATTTTTCAACACTAAAAACTTCATAACTACTTTAACATTCGTTTAAAAAAAATTTACGATAGGGTATCTCCTATTTCAGATGAATATTTTCGAAAATTCATGAATCTGTTTCTTTTTTTAGGAAACAGTGGCTGTAATGGAGGTTTAATGGACAGTTCTTTCCAGTATATCAAAGATAACAATGGGATAGATACTGAAGATTCATATCCTTACACTGCTCAGGTAAGCATATAAAAATTCCATCGACTCAAATTAATATTCTTATGAATAGATTTTCTACCTCGTTAAAGTTGATAATAGCTTCTAGAATGTGTGTAATGAAAATACTAAATGCATCGTTGTCACTATAAAAGACAGCAATAGAATTGAAACTGAAAAACTACATAATTACGTAGCTTCAATAAGGATTTTAAAATTCCGCTTGTTTTATATGTTATTAGGCTTAACCCAATCTTATTATAAAAAAGTATTCTATTTATTTAATGTTGAAAATAACTGAAAAACCACATATTTACACAACTTCGATAGGGATATTAAAATTCTATTTGTTTTAAATGTTATTTGGCTTAACCCAATCTTATCATTAAAAAAAGTATGAATTCCATTTCATATTGAAAATCTATTTAATATCTAAAACAACTTTTAATTAACTATAAAGAAATATTGAAATTTGTGAACAAATCACTTATATTTTTATAGTAGGCACGAGTGAAATTAATATTAAAGAGTAATATCTTTACAAAACTTTTGGACTGATATTTAACTTTTTTTCGTTGTAAATTATATTCATTGTTATTAGTCTTAAACTATCCTTATTATAAATAAGATCTTATTCAATGGTAAATATATCCCTTAGTTGCTTGTAATAAAATCTCAAAAGGCCTCGTTTTCAATATGTAGAAGACGAAAGTGGAGTGGACACGGCAAAATAATATCCACAGTTCTAGAAAGGATAAAACTCCGTTTGCTTTCAAAGTTATTAGATTGAAGCTAGGCGTAATATGAATAAGCATTCATCTTAGTCAACGTTGAATACAATATTTTGTAGCTTGTAATGAAGTTTCTTAATGTCTCATTGAAATATCATTGAATCATTTAGAAGACAAAAATGGAATTAGCGAAAAGCAATCATATCCTTACATAGCTTTCGTAAGAATGTTAGAAATACCATTCGTTGAAAGTTATTAGATTGAAACTCAGTTTAATGTAAATAAATAGGTACCAAAAAAACGGACTTTCCTGAAAAAGTTTTGATCTAATGATCAGATCTTAACGTTCTAGGACTCAATCTTAATATCTTGAGGGGATGACCTCAAATATGCTAATTAATTAGAGCAGACGATATTGTAAGTTATGTAATCAAACACAAAAACACACTTTCTCTGAAAAATTTTTTCAACGAATTCGGATTTCTGACGCCCAAAATGTAAGGGGTAGATGCAATCTGGGAAAAAGGCGACGTTTTTAAAATTCGATATTTCAAGAATTATTCAACCGATTTTGCACAAATTTTGTATTTTGCCATTGTGGGGGCGGAGTTATCAACCACGCCAACCTTCATCTATCAAAAGGTACTTCATGATTGAATCAAGTTAGCATGTCTTATATACCCGTGAATTGATGTTTAATATTAGTAGTGGTCGTTACGCCACAATACTCCCGCACCAGAATTTTATCAGGGATAGAATTCGATACCACTAGTTGCTGTACTTGTGAAAGACCAGGAGGGCTGAATTAAGGTCACTAGTTTTTTTTTCGTGCTGAATGTGAGAGGTGTATTAACTTCACAGTCGTAGTCGCTCCTGTGTTGCCATTAGCAGTCGAGTGTATGCAGGCAGACGTTGTGCTTAATCGAGACGTGACTGAGTAGCAACAGCGTGAGATGGATTGGATTATGTCGCTGTCACAAGTAGCAAGTCAACTGTTCAATGTGGACTATCCATCGAAGTAGGCGTTACTGTCAAGATTTTTGCGAAGTGGGCGTTACTGCATGTTCAAATCACGTCCTAAGGTCACCAATGTGGGGACGGAGTTATCGACNATAAATGGATTTTATATCGTGTGCAAAAATTTGTAAATTCGCTTGAAAAGTTCTCTAGACATAATGAAATATGCAGAAGGTAAAATTAACATTAAGAGGTTCAAACTTTGGAGCTCTCTCCTGACCAAATTTCACAGATTGCTCCTATGTTTTGGTGGTCAGATATCCGAATCCGCAAAAAAAAAGTATGTTTGTTCAGAGAAAGTGCGTTTTTGTGTCTGATTTCGTAACTTAAAATATCGTCAGCACTAATTAATTAGCATATTTGAGGTCATCCCCTTGAACCATTATTTGAGTTCAAGAACGTTAAGAGTCACCAATTAAATCAAAAGTTATTCCGGGTGGTCCTAGTCGATGTTAAATACAATCTTGTAATGAAATTTCTAAATGCCTCATTGTCATTATGAAGAAGACAAAAATGGAGTTGACACTGAAAAATCACATCCTTACGCAGTTTTGATATTAAAATTCCAATTGTTTTAAAAGTAATTAAACTGAAACTAGGCCTAATGTGAATAAGAGTTCATCCTAGTAAATGAAGATATGTGTAGTTAAATTTCTGAATGGATACAAATTACAATGTCGTTGATTTATAAGAAATGTATTTTTATTTCTTTTCCAGGATGGGGATTGTCATTTTAATAAATATAATGTTGGTGCAACTTGCACTGGATATGTTGATACTCCTTCTGGAGATGAGGATGCATTGATGAAGGCTGTCGCCACCGTAGGTCCAGTATCGGTCGCCATTGATGCCAGTCAAACAAGTTTTCAACTTTACAAGTAAACAACAAATATACCTTTGTATTTAACTGCTCCCTCTTTTCCTTTTTTATTACAAATGAGAATTTAGAAAAATGCCGTAAATCTAGAACCGTAAAATGAACACGTATTTTATTTTTATATTTTAAATGCATTCCCTTAAAATGAATATAAAAATTAGTTGGCAATTATTGGGTTCAAGTAGTTCTTAAATTTGAGCTACTTGAACTTACATTTAATTTTCTTCTGGGGTTCTTAATTCTCAGAAATAAAGAAAACAGTATATTTTCTTTTAATGAATTCTGACATCCAATTAAAACTCGGTTATCATTAAACACTTACATGTAACCATCCAATGAAATAGTATTATCATTATGTGTCTCATAAAATAACATATTTAACCTCGAAACAAATATTTACAAGTAAGCTTAAAAGACAAATTTACGAGCTTGGATAATACTGTGATATTTCCTTTTTTACTTTTTTCATTTTTCACTTTGACATTGTTTATGATCAGTGATTAAATACTAAAACTAGTCTGCCCTTCTTCGAACTTTTTATTTTATAAGTTGTTTTTACGTTATTTACTTATAGATTTTTTTTTGTTCATAACAAATTTTAAAATAAATATACTTGTTGAATAATTATTAAAACACTCAATATAACATCGCATTTTAGCATCATTATTCTTTATATTGTAAGAAAATTTAATTTATGTATTTTGAGTAATATTGCTTCGAATATTGCTTGAATAATATTACTTGAGTAATATTACTTTTGAAAACCTATATATCATGTTATTAGGGAAATATTTGATTCGCATAACTTTTTGAATTTTCATAAAATTATTTTTTATCATATGTTGGAATAAATTAAATTTAATAAGATGATAAAATTTTAGGAGTGGCATCTATGATGAACCGTATTGTGGTAACCAAAAAAGTAATTTGGATCATGCTGTTCTTATTGTTGGTTATGGCGCACAAAATGGAACCGACTATTGGATAGTTAAAAACAGGTAAATATGTAGAACGTTTGAGTAAAAACATGGACTTAACAGCTTAAAATAATCTTGTAGTTTTGCATGAATGTTTTGTGTACAAATATTAGTATTAAAGTTAGTTAATTCAGCTAATCAAGTAATCCATTGTCTTTCGATTATGCATCCATAGCTTGTTAAAACTAAATGAATAAATAAATAGCAAAATAAAATAATATGAGAAGTTGTCACTGAGAGACAATGAAACTCAGGGGAACCTCATTTTGCGAAAAACGAAGCGTCTGAGCAAAATAAGCGGAGGGGAAAACGCTGCATAAGCGGCTAATTCACAAAATTTAATTTCTTGAATTCGTGTTTTTTATTCTACCTAAACAGAAAAAATTCAATTTTATTCATGATTATTTTGTAGTGTTTTCTTAAATTCATTTTTTTTTTTGCTAACAAATCATTAAATTTTGCCCTGAAATGCCAAAATCTACTCTTAGTTTGGAGATTTTAAGTTCTGGAAAACGCAGCAAGTCAAATTTTAGAGCAACTTTTAGATATTTTAATGTATTCTTATTTTTAAGAAATATAATATTTTTATATTTTCGCTTTACAGCTGGGGAACTTCATGGGGTGAACAAGGTTACATTAAGATGTCAAGAAATAGAGGAAACCAATGCGGAATTGCCACTCTAGCTAGTTACCCTCTTGTTTAGAAAATCAACATCATCATCAATCCTGAAGTGAGCAATACCAATGATTGAGGCCATGATGTTTTATGAGCATTTAAGAAAAGTATTGCATGAAGACTAATTTTTTCTTTCAAAATTTTTAGTATATATAAGCATATTTTTTTGAATATATAAGCATTTATAAACTCATACTTTGCGCTATGTAGACTAAAGCAAAAAAATACGTGAATAAAGCGCTAATGTTAAGTACATAAAAGAACATATTATAGTCTCAGTTCTATAAACAAGAACCTTCCTCAGTGTCTAAACATCAAATGACTTAACTGTTTCTTATATCTTTTTTCTATTTTCTTGTTGAAAATTATTCACCTGCCCTTTTGCTTAAACTGCTTTTCACGTGTTAGTCTCTGTATTTTCTCTACAGAGAAAGTAAAGAGACTAACACCCCTGAGGATGATAGTAGAGACTATCATCTTCAGGATGGAAAGAAAGTATAGAGACTAACCATTAAGGTGTACAGACACTGAGGAAGGTTCCTGTTTATAGTATGCCCATTAATGTACTTTCATTTGTGCTTCATTGACGTTGTTTTTGATTTAGTCATCTATAAACAGTTAGGAACTAAACCACAATATTTTGTAAAATTACTGCAGCCTTAATACGGTGTCTAGTTGTAACATGTTTCAGTTTAAGTAAAACCATTTTAATTATAATATGTTTTAAATCGAATATAAATTTTGTTTAATTATTTAAGGGATTTTGTTTCAATTTAACATCTTATTGAGGTTGCACAAATTAACATGATAATATGGTTTAAGGTACCTATGTAAGGGCTCAATGTTGAACCAAATTTTCTCAGAATGTGCCAGTTGTCAATTTTTACAATATTAATAAAAAATGTTTACTGAAACAACTGTTTACTTGTTTGTGATAGTATGTTTCAGAATGTGCGACTTGTTTTTCTATACTATTATCTTATGAAGCAATGTTCTTAAGAACTATTATTAAAAGGTATCGTTGTTTTATATTTAAAGGAAGGCACTCAAAATACGCCAAATCTATTTTAAGAGAAACAATGCCTGAGGATAACGACAGAAATACTGAAAGTAAATTATATAGCTCGTCTATTCTTTATTATTTTGTAGAAACGTTACCACTAAATTGTTTATTTTTCCCCTCATAACTTAGCTAATGTTGCTTCATTATTCAGGAAATATTCAATATTCATTAAATTATTGCACTTAATTATTGATTGCAATCTATATTATTTATGTAGTAAAGTTGCAATAGGTTAATAATCCAACAAAAAGATAAAACAGTAAAGCAGACACTTTCTTAAAAGCAAATTTTTATTTATGAAAATTCAAAAAAAAAAAATAGTACATTAGTTTCCTAAGTATATATTTATTCAGTTTAATTATTTTCTCAATGTCATTTTTATTATTCAGATAATATGATAGTTACACCTCAAAAAGCATTGATAAAGAAGTCAAATTTTGATCACACTTCAAACTGTTGGATAGCTTGCTTGAGTGGCAATTCCACACTGGTTGTTCTTGTTTCTGGTCATTTTTATGTATCCCTGAATTCCCCAAGTGGTTCCCCAACTGAAATAGAAAGATTAAAAAATTTTAAAAATCTACTAAGCAACAAAACTTATAATAGCATGGCAATCTAATATTTGTAACAATCCTTTTAACAGAACTTTCAGATTGAATCTGCAGCACTTTCTTCATTAAATCCAAATTTGTCTGAAACCTCAACGATGTCAGACTCAGACTATTATTGTGAAAATTCAGCTTAATCTAAGATATAGAAAATTTTGCAAATATATGGTCTAAAAATTAGACATAAAAATTTCATGTTAAATTAATAATTAAAATTGAATTGAATTTTATACAGTAGTACTTTAAAAATTAAATAAGTCTCAATGCAGTTAAATCTGTAATCAAGTAAGAGAAATTTTTATTTAATTATTTATTTACTTATTTATTTATTTACTGCTCTTTGTTATTGTAATTCTAATTCTTTATAATTGAGGTGTTGTAATTGAGCCTACAAATTTTTATTGGAAACAAGATTTGAGATGTTTTAAAAAAGAGTTGCAGCAATTTATCTCCATTTAAAAAATAAAATAAGAACTTAGATAAAAAATATGAAGTCATCAAAATAAAGTAGTACTATCTTGACTAATAATTTAAAGTCATCAATTAGAATAACATTATATCTTGAAAATCTGCAATAATTAAGCATCTAAATAACACACTAATAATACCCATATAATACCCATACATAGAAAAGACATTGTTCTCACGTATGGATACAGATGGAACATAAACTCTCCGACCCAGGTACCGAAAAGCAACAAGCAATTTAAATAATGTACTTCAGCTACTTAATTTAAAAAGTTTGATTGATTTGTTTGCATGTAAAATTTGAAACTCAAACTTCAATTTATACAAAATTGATTACTTTTGCTGTTGGGGAAATTATATTTAATATATTATTACATTACATTTAATATATTGTTACATTATATTTAATATATTATTAATTATATCACTCTCTGATCATACTCACTGAATGCAGTTTCAATTCTTAAAAGTAAATCATTGATATTTTGAACCGAAGTAGAAAGTAAAAAAAAAGTTAATTTCAATCAGTATATTAATTTTTATTTAAATTTTAAAAACATTAATCAAAACAAGATAATTTTATTTGAGTTATTAAAAGATTGTCAATGCAACAAAAAATTAATGCAATATAAAAATTGTCAATGCAGTACATATTTTCGGATGATTTTGATTTTCTTTGATTGTTTAAAATCGTTAATTTTTATTCACTTTTCATTTTTGCTTTGCAACTAGTAGTACTAATTTTATTTGATCTTCTTTTTTTAAAAAGAAAGCAAAATCTAAGTCAGAGAATACTTTTCAATTTAAAACGAAGTAGAGCAGTATACTCATCAAAATTGTATAATTTAATTCAATGAAATGAAATATCTGAAATAAATGTAAATGTTCAATTAGATTTATATTATTCGAAGCACTATAAAAATTAACTATATAGTCAATCTAAGGAATTTGAAGAAGCTGCATAGAAAATCATTGTAAAAGGTTTCATAGAAAAACTAAAAAATAATCAAACAAATAATAAGAAACTGTAAAGAAGCAAAAGTTCAAAATATAATTTTCAAAAAATTAAAACGTATTTCTTGGTTAATGCAGCTTAGTAACATTTAATTTTGATTAACTAATTGTTAGTAGTAATTATTAAGTAATCAAGTAGTAAATTTTTATGTGTACCTGTTTTTGACCAACCAATAATCATTTCCATCTTCAGTTCCATAACCAATGGCCAAAACACCATGATCTAACTGGTCAGAGCTGCAAGCGGGTTCGTTATAGATTCCACTTCTACAGGGAAGATTTTCAAAAATTTTGAAAATTAAATCATTAAATGAAGTGTATAAATGAATTTCTTTTCAGTTCTTGGAAAAAATTATTACTTGATGGATAATTTTGATTGCAGTAAACTATTATTTTTCCCAAGTAATATTTTTCGTTTTTTATTGACAAATATGGCTGCAATTAAGATATACTAGCTAAGGTCGATTAATCGTACTTATTTTTCAATCATGCATCAATAAAACAATTGGTAACCAAAAACAAGAAGTGAAACAGAAAAATAAATTGGTGACATTACCCTAAGAACAAAGCATGTTAAAACAACCAGAATGTGAAAAAGTCTACCGTGTTTCTGGCTCTATGAGAACACCGAAAAGCACATTAATTTTTACCTAAATGCTAAAATTTGATAAAAGTCATAAAACTTGGTATTTCTATAATGATACCTAAAAGCATTTCATAAAGCCATTTATTCGGGTAAATTGACTTCTCAGTTTTGTATTTGTTATTCTTCTCAGTTTTGTATAAGTACAAATAAGAACTATAATTTTAAAATTAAGAATTTCCAGGAAAACCGTCTCCATATGAAGGGAAAAATTACCAAATGAATAGTTTAAATATGGTATATTTTCGTTTTTGTACCAGAATTATCGTTGTTTTTTAACAGGAAATGTCTTCACTATACGGTACGGTAATTTTGCCAGAATTTGTTTTCCGTATAGCAGTCAAAAGACGTAGGTAATCAATGAACCGCCAGAGGGCAACTAATATTGTTTGGTTTCACAAGTTGGATACATCTTTATTTGATATTTAACATTATTAAAAATGGATATTTTCCTCGCTTTAGATGGAACCATGCCTTGGACAGTGCTACAAGCAAACATTTCGTCTAATTGCGGAAATTACCATACATATACTCCTTCTTAAAAGATATAAATTTCCTCAAAAGCTTTAGGCTCAATGCTACATACCTATTAATATAATTATTTAAAAACTACTGGGATAAAAGTAATAGGAGTATTAGTAAAGGAGTAGTCAGGCATAACTTGGAAGTGAACTCGAGAAATCATCTTGTCAAGCTAGCGCGCTAATGTCCGACCATTGTGTTGCATTGCACCATCTTGTCTAAGCACACACATAAAAATGCTAATAAACACACGCAAGAGGAGTTTTGTTATATATTTGAAATTCACCTTTTTTCAAAAATCACATAATTTCGAGATGGAATAATTGTGAAATATAGTAAAATAAAGCTAAAAAATCGCTTATTGGGATTAAGGAGAGTTGACACGTGAGAAAAAAAAAATTGTATCCTTCAAAATGATCAGGAAAGCACTAATAAAGTGATAAAACATTAAATTTCTAATTGGTGGGTAAAAATAGATCATATTTTTTAACTTACTGATAAGTCTGGAAACTCCAGTTGCTGGCATCAATGGCAACAGATATTGGTCCAACTGTTGCAACAGCTTTCTTCAAAGCTTCTTCATCACCGGTGGGGATGTCGACATATCCAGTTACAGTTGCACCAACATTGTTCTTCTTGAAAAGACACTTGGGTCCATCCTTTAAAATTTAAAATATCATTTCTTCTTAGATTGAATTAATATTATTGAAAAGCAAAGTAAGATATACAGCAAGTTCAGTTTTGTTAGTTTTAAGTAATTTGATTAATCATTAGTTTCCACTCATCTACGTGCATTGAACAATTTAAGTAGTGGCTAAAATAACTCATTTGTTTTAACATTTTCTAAACATAAATAAAGTTTATATTTAGTATCCACCTGATGTAAACTTATTTTAGTATAAGTAAATATTCGAACCATTGTTTCACAGTTCTTCGCTAAAATATTTATTTGCATGGTTTGAAATTTCGTTCAGAATTGTTGAAACTATAAACAACTATGTAACCGAATATTATGAAATTTACCTTAGACGAAGAGTTTTAAACGAAATACGTCTAAAGTAACACAGGAATTATATTTTATTAATTATATTTTATTATATTAATTATAGGAATTATATTAATTATATTTTATTTCATAACCGGTTTTGAACAGCTGATCTAATTTTTAGTGCACGACTATCAATGTTCTATTCTGTAGCCTTGTAATTTTGAAACCAACTCAAAAGAAAACAGAATTCCTGGATTAAGTATTGCGACAAACTAACCTTCATGGAGGACTTTTTGATGAAATTAACTCACATTTGCGTTACATAGAGAAGAAAACACTGCAAGGCTATTCAAACTCATGATCCGTCTACCACTGAAGATATTGTACGTCAGCACTGTGGTCGGGAAGAGCCGGGAGCAGAACTCGTATAAATCGGCCATCAATGAGATTCGAACCTGAGCCCCCTCATTAGGAGACAAGCACTCAATCTCCTGAGCCACCGCGGCATTTGTTTAAGAACTAGGCAAACTTATTTAGAATATTTTATTGTAAATAGAATGATAAAAAGATTATAAAACTTAAGCAATCATTACGTAATAAAAACCTAGACTAGATTTTCTCAGTCAAAATTATTAAATATATAACTATCTATAATCTATTACCCTACTCTATATCTTTGTTTAGAAAAAAAACATAAGCTGTAGTTTCGGAAAACAACAACGACAAACCTCAGCTGTGTATGGGTAAGATGCTTCAGTGTCGATTCCTTTGTTTTCTTTGATGTATTGGAAAGCTTGGTCCATCAGACCTCCCTCACAGCCCATGTTACCTGAAAAATATGAAGCCTCAATGATATATAGGTTATGGTTTTTAGATTTGGTTATATATAGTTTATGGAGTTTTTAAAAATATGAAGTAAAAAATTGCATATATTTATTATTAGTGCATTTTTCATATTAAAATCGAGATAGTCTCATCCGTAAAACCTATAAATAAAAAAATATGTGTATTTGATTTATTAAAACAACACAGAGATAAGTATAATATACGAATTTTTAGACGAATCCAATTCAGAAAATGTGAATGCTTTTTTTTTCTGTTTTCAATAAGTGAGTTTCAGCATTTCAGCTGCAACTTAGGAAGCTCTTAAAGCATTATTTTATACTTGGTGTCGAATTTCTCTTAATAATACGGGCTATAACCTAATTTTTTTTCTCAAAAATGGAACATTTTGTTATGAAAAACCCTTTAGACCTCATAGACCTCATTCATAAAGCACAGAAAAGGATTTCAATGTTTAAATTAAGTCAAGTATTTTGATCCAAGTGGAGAAAAAAATTTGTAACATAACTATACTGTAGAATAATTCTAGATAAGAATTCTAGTTTACTATTTGTAGTTAAGAAATGATAATTCTGGTAATGAAAACCGAAATAGACGATATTTGAAACATTCAATTTGTAGTTTTTCCGTTGGGAACTGGTTTCCAAAAATTCTGGTTTTCAAAATTATAGTTCTTACTGCCCGCATGTAGTAAACAAATACAAAAATTAAAAATAAATTTAGCCGAATAAGTAGTTTTTATGCCATATTCTAAGGAATCATGATAAAATTACCGATTTTACCACTTTTACCCTTTGTCATTACATACTATGAAACCGCATTTTATTGTTAATTTTATCAAAATCATTACAAAGGCGTTTCGGTAAAAATTACTTCTTTTTTTAGCGTTCCTATAGAGTCAGAAACGGTAGCTTTTACTATATACTGGTACTTTTAAACATACTGTATTTTTCAGTGCAAATATACCCTCGAAACATTGATAGCTGATCGTAATATGCTTTTATGCCTAACTAAAGGTCAGAGTATTTCAGAATGTCACTTAAGCACAGCTCTCCAAGTAATTTCAATTTAGGGATCAATTTCAGGAGTTGTAAATATTGTTTTAGTTATTCTGATTTCCGTACGGATTATTATTATTATCACCCTTTATGTATGCTTTTGGAACAACTGCTTCAATTGAAATAAGTGTGGTTTTCAAATGTGACGAATTAATATTTAAACGAGTAAGAAAACGCAAACGATATCAAAACCTGAAGAATCCCGATTGAAAAAGATTCAATTAAAAATGTCAAGAGAATTTTTTCTAAGACACTCTTTTGTTTCCCTTCAGAAATCAAGCAAATTTCGACACTTTTAAATTTCCCCTTTTTTGTTAACGATACGTTCAGTTCCAACAGCATTTCTTTCTCGTTGGAATATTAATATTTGTGCACTAATGTGTATACTAGCTAATTTCATTGTTATCAAATATTTACAAAAAATATCTATAAGTGACGATCGTTATAGAATTTCCTGTACACGTATTGCTGTATCTAGTATTTTATTTTATTCACCTTCTGCTCCAGAACAATCTACGAGATTCTGTTCACTGAGAGAAACCAACTTTCCTGTATTCTTCATGTGTTGTCCCTCCAAAGATCCGGTGGTGGAGAAAGCCCAGCAAGAGCCACATTGTTGCTATATTTAAAAATATATACATTACTTTTTTATCTCAGTTGACATAAAATAGGGCGTTGATTTTAATGTAGGTAAAGGTCTTGTGTTTAAAAAAAAAAATGAAAATATAGTACTTAAATTTCTTTTTTTCTTTTCTTTTCTTTTTTTATTCCAGTTGAAATTTGTTTGAGAACTCACGATATTTTATAACCATCATTGAACAACCGACCGAATGTTCAGTTTACAACTACCAATGTTCAATTCCGCATTCTTGTAATCTTGAACCCAATCCATAAGGCAAGGGAACGCCTGGATCAAGTATTGGGAGAAATTTGCCTTCGTGGAGGATTGATTTTTAATGGAACTAATTTGCGTTACAAGGAGAGAAAAATCACGAAAACCTCCCAAAGTTGCAAGGGAACTCTAACCCAATTTCCGTATACCATGGAGGATATTTTATGTCATCACTGCGTTTTGTGCAAGTTGGGTACGGAATTCGAATCAATCTGCCATCCCCGGGATCATTGGTAGGCGAACGCACTCTCAGCCATCGTGGCTTAGGATTCAAGATAGCCATTTTTAATTGCATTGAAAAAGAATTTTAATATAGTATATTTTCTTTGACAAGCTTCTCGATTCATATTTATTTTATTTACCATCAATAATTTTAGATTTTCTATATCGAGTTATGTTTGTAAATGTATTTCATTATTAGTCAAAAAATATACTTTAAAATTGCAATAAGAAGTGATGCAATATCTGATCTTATATCTGTTGTCCTATGATCTATAAAATAAATACCTGATTTTTAATAGGGGTGACAAGTCCTTGTTTTCTCCAATCAACAGTGTCTGGAATATGGACGTAGACAGGGTCAACCCAAGCATCTCCACTTCTGCTTTTTAGACCATCACTTTTAAACCCATTAAAATGCTTTACAAATTCGTCATGGCTCTAAGAATTAAAAAAAGAACAATAAATTATAAATTAGCATTGCTTAAAAGCTGCTTATTCACTTGTCTAATTTTTTTTAAAATTTTATTTGATAAGTGAATAGCTAATTTATTTCATGCAACGAAAAATAAATTTTACGTCATACATTTTTGTTAGTAAAACAATCTATATCATTCTAAATTTTGAGAATCAGACTTTAGAGATAGTTTTTACTCTCTTCTTACAGTTAACTTCTTCAATCCGCTTTAACAAATTACAACTGTGCAATCTCCAACCGAACAGAAATCACTTCACGCATGCGCACTTAAGATTCAGCTCTCCTTCACAGGCACGACAGTCCCTTTTTCAGAATTCCATTCCATGTCGTCGTGTTCTTGACTAAGGTTTTCTAGTTTGTTATTCTAGTAGTTTTAAAGTCTTTATTCAGACATTCAATATACCTAAATTTTGGTCAAATTCTTTAATATCACTACTGGAATCCTATGTACTCTTTTTCGGGTACCAAATGCAATAATCTAACTTCTGATAACTAATAAAATTATATAAAAATCAATACAAAATCTAAAACAGAACTTAACTTAAGTATCCTGTAAATAACTAATCTTACAACGATTCATTTAATATCCATCGAAATATTTTTATGTTGAAGTTATAGTTTGTAAAAAACCAGATCTAGTTTGAGCTTTAAATGTTACTTTTTGCTTTAAAAAAATATATATTCTAATACAAATTTCATATATATATAGGATTACAGTATTAATAGCTACTAACCATAGTTTATTACTTACAATATCAGCATATTCGTTGATGCCTTTTCTGTAGGTGTGAAGTCCCATATCTGCTTTCAAGTTGTGATCAATAATGTCTGCTACTGTTTGTTCCCATGAGAGACGTTTGGAAAATTCTTCCTGGCCATTGTAGCTTTTTCCATATACTCTCTACGAAACGAAAGTATAGAATATCAAATACAGGTTTGTAAAACAATAAGATATAAATTATTTATTGGATTATAGGATTTTTAGATAGTACACAGAGAAAAAGAGTTTTGATAAAATTACGGTACTTTTTAAGTAATAACATTTCTGGTATTAAAAAAATAATAAATATCAACATAATTCTGGTAATTATACAAAAATATACTCTATTTAAACCATTCATTTGGTATTTTTTCCTTTCACATTGCAACAGTTTACAAAAATTCTAGTTCTCAAATTTATAGTTCTAATTACCACACATTTAGTATAAATTCAAAATTGAAAAGTAAATTTAACTGAATAAATGGTTTATATGCCTTGCTCTAAGGTTTCATGATCAAATTACCTAATTTTACAACAATTATTATCAAATAGCATGGTTAATCAAACCCTATTTGATTGCTAATTTAATCAAAAGTTATAGAAAAGCCAAAGTCAGGAAGCCAAAGTGCTACACTGAAAATTGGTGTGTTTCCCGGTGTTCTCGTAGAGCCGAAAACACGGTAAATTTTACCATATTCTGGTAGTTTTAATCATACTTTTTTCTTAGTGGCATATTCATATAGATAACTATCGAATAACAAAATCTATGGAATTTTTAGTTTCTATTAGCTTTTCAATTTTTATATTTGAATTATGAAGTATTAAATTTATAGAATTTATAGAATAATAAGAGATATAGCTTATTTATTCGATTTTTAAGTTTTCAGAACAATGAAAAGATATTTATAGAATATAAGAAAATTGTTCAATAAATAGTTCAAGCTTTTAGTACACGTAGGTTTAATGTAAAATAAAAAACACTTAGTTTTAATCTTTGCAATAAAAAAATTACTTCGTCAATAAAATAAAAAGGAAGCAAAAAAAATTAATAAAGAAAAGAAAAGAAAAGAAAATTGTTAAAAGTTCAAGTTTTTAGAAACAGAAGTGAAATATATTAAAAAGAATAAAAAAACGGAAATTATGCTAAATTTTTTTCGAATACTTAGTTCTTCTATACAATTGACAAATTCATTTGCAGCACTAATCATTTAAACAATATTCTACAAAACATTCTACGAACAAACATTCATTTACCCAAAAATGTAAAAAATCCGCTGACTGCGTATATGGATCTTAGAAATTGTAGGAAAAAATTCAAAGGATTCTACTAGATAATTTAAATCGAAAGACCAATAGATAAAAGTACTACTTTGTTATAAATTTTTATAAAAAAATTTTCATATGCTAATTTCGCAATTTATACACACATCATACGCACATCTTTGCTTAAAATGTTACTTTATTCTATGTTAATCTGTTGTATTCTATGTTAATCTGTATATAAATCTTATTATGATGAATTCTTTAAAGTTAACTATTTATTTCATCATAAGAAGATTTATAATGTCACATTTGAATTTGTATTTCTCCACAAATAAATTATATCTAGTTAAATGTCTCCTAAATCTTACAAAACTCTTAGAAACCTCAGTTCAATGTTGGATGATAACGTGGGTGTTTTGAACCAAAATTATGTAGAAAATTGTTGCAAACTTAATAAAAACTGAAATTAACCATTTTCCCCTTCATGTTGTGTTAAATTATAATGTATTTAAATTTAGAAGTTCAATAATTTTGTACAAAATAGCATCATTTTAAATTTCTTCGCAAATTTGAACTATATTGTAATACAAAACAAACCATTGGTCTTAGAAAGAGCAGAATTTATCTAATCATTAGAAAAAATTAATTATTGCAACCCAAAATAACTAAAAACAATTTCTTTTTTTTAACTTACTATATGACAGACGTTAATAAACATCGAGAAAAACACATTTGAAAACAATACTTTGCTTGTATTTTATCCCAATTAAGCACCGAAAAATATATTTACAGTAATTTATTTTCTTGAATCATTTATGATCATTAATTATTTTATATCAAGTTCAGTGATCTTTTAATTAATTATTTAAATAATATTTTCCTAAAATGAGTTGCTGGTTTTTCCATAACTTCTCATGAATTCTAATTTCTTGTAAATATTAAAAGATTAAAATTGTTTATTGGCTGATATATGTTATTGAAATTAGAATTATAGCGGAAATAAAGTTTTCCCTTAGAACATTTTTAAGCATCCGTTATTTTTTTTAAAGTTTTGAACTTCAAAATAGTAATATAAACTAGAAAAATAGATCCCTTTTTAAAGAAAAATTCTTTTCACAATGTAATAAATCTTAAAACTTAAGAAATTTTCTCTTAAAATTAGTGGATTTTTCTCAGTGAAACAAAGAAGACTTTCTGTAATGAATTTTGTAACTATGGGTCCATATGCACATTCTTTGGTATGCAAAGAATCATAGCTGGATTTATGAAAATGCTGAGAAATTTACCAGACTTTAAAACTAAAACGAAGACAGTTTTTGTCTTTTTAGTGTTCTTTTTAGTGTTCAGATAGAAAAGTAAATATAAAAAAAGGATAAAATTTATACAAAAAAAGAAATGAATAATTATTTACCTTGAAATTTTCCCAATGCTCATCCAATTGGGGATTGAACGGTAATCTACTCGCTGCTGTCACAGCAATAAAGGCAAAAAGTGCAATGACCTTCATTTTCTTTTTTCTTACTTCTGAAACATAACAAATACATTTAAGTCCTTTTTATGCAGCAAAAAATATACATTCTGTAAATATGTGAATACATTAAATAGTTTAAATTCACAGATTTTAGCACTTTAAATTCCAAAGAAATGCATACATTTATTTATTTAATATTCTATATATAATACCCAATAAATAAAACACATCACATTAATTTTCCAAAATATTTTTTCTGTCTTATTATGAATTTAAACCAATTTTAAATTTATATTTTAAAATTGTAAACATATGACACAAAATATAAAATTTGTTAAAATAAATTTATGTAATTTTACCTTAATTATGTGATGCTGAATTTATCAGACAATAAAATGCATCTAATAAATAGCTTTAACTTTTTAGCAGCTAGAAACATGAACATTCTGAACATTTTTTTCATTAACTGAAATAATTTTTTACTAAATTGTTAAAATGGTGTGAAACATACAATTTCTGGGTGAATTGTTACGTGTTTAAGAAATAGTGACAAAATAGTTAAAAACTATTGTAACTATACACCAAAAGTAATGTACTTTAAAATGGGGCATGAATGACAATATTCACAACTAGTCTGAATAATTTCGATACATTTAAGATTTGAGAAATTAAATTTATTTGTATAAAAGATTTAAAAAATTATATCTTTGCTAGATATTTTTATTTAAAATTTCATGAATTATTAAAAACAAAAAATAGCTACTCCAGGATAATCCAGTACAATCATATTGAAATTTATATACAAACTGAAATAGCTATTTCAAGTTGATAATAAGTAATATTGAATTAAACCTTAAAATGACTAAAAATTAAAACTTTAACAAAACTTAATAGCATCTCTCTTTTACTCCGGTTAATGCGCAATTTTTCTAAGCAGATATATAGTTGATATATAGTAGATAGCAGATATACCAAGCAGAGAGGGATATATATATTGTAGTAGAACATCAGGTTTAAATGTAAAATAGATTTAATTTTAGATTCAATTTTAATTTAAAATTAAAAAAACAATATCCTTCTCCTATATACTTGCTCAAACAATAAAGCTTATTTTATGGAAATGTAGTTGTTTTAATTACCGTACCTAATTATAACTAATATTAATTATAACACTCTTCGTGTTGCTTTAATATCTGTCACTTATTAATTATTTCAATATTTTATTAATATTTCAACATTCACTTTGAAAAATAACAGATGTGATTGTTCAAGCACTTTTTCTGTCACGCTTATTTTAATATGATTAAACTATTGAAACATAACAAAATAGATGCATCGACAGTAAAAATCAGAAAAAAAACTTTACACTTTTAAAAAAAAGTTGTTTTTTCAAAGAAATTTCTAATTAAAATTACATTTTAAAATTAATAACAATATTATGCTCGATATTTATAGTTATTAAAAAATATTTAATTACTTATACAATGATAATATATAGAAATATACCTATGAAAAATTAAATTTTCCAATAGCTGTAAAGAAGCTTTGAATTTAAGGTAAAGTAAGTGAAAATTTGATTAGTATTAAATACTTAAACCTAATTGCTCGGATATATAATTTTTACGCAATCTTCCGAAAAAGTAATTTTTTGGACAGTTTTACTAATTTGAACATGAAACATATAAATTTCAATCCTAGATATATATTCAAAGCAAAAATTTGCAAGTAATTGCAGGAAATCGAAAATAAAATAACAAAATACGGTTTAAATAATGGGTTGTGTTTTTTTCCACTTCCCCAAAATTATCCTCCATAAATAAGAGGAATTTTTAAGATAGATTTTAAATTAATTTGATTAGACTTCCAGTTTATAAATTCATAAAAATACCCTTTTAATACAATTTATGCTAAAACATATGAAAAATTCTTTGAAAATGGAATAAATCAATTAAAAAAGCTCAATCACTTAACTGACTAGTTTTTATGAGTAATTAGATTTGCCTTGATTAAGAAAACATAAAAATAAGTTAATTCAGTTGCTACATAACATAAAATTAACTAAATCGAAAATTCTAAATAAAAAAAGGTAAACTTAAAATGAAAAACTCACAATATGTCTATATATCTTTTATGATTTTCAAGCTCCCAAACTTTTCAGAGGATTAATAAAAGTGAAATAAAATCCTATATTTATAGGCAGTTCTGAAATGAATCATTTAAATCAGAAGTTGAAATTAATAATTAGATAACATCAAAATAACGTGATAATTGCACGAGACAATTCACCCTTTCGTTTGTCCCAGATAAAAAAACAAATGATACGATCGATTTTTTAAACACTCACTGAGTTTATGAAGTTTGATAAAACATCGAAAAATAAAAACAAACAACACGCCAATAATACATAAATAGCCTAATGCGAATGATACTAGCTTATCTTTTTAAAACATATGATTTTTTAGTGACACAAATGAAATAATACATTATTTTTATATAATACTACTGATTATCGAATCTGTAATTAAAAAAAAATCAGCTTAATAGCTGACAATGCAGTAAAAAACATATTTGACAAGAAGACAGGAGATAAATATAAGTTATTTATAATTTATATAGAATTTTCATTAAACATATTTTTCAAACTTTTTTATCATAGTTTGTATTAATTTCGGTGAAAATGAGAGAAAATAATTAAATTTAACATTTTAATAAATTAAAGTTATGAAACGCAGCATAGGACATCGGTGTCACTTTCTGCGTCAAAAGTAAAATCTTCTGCACTCGGCTCACTTCCAAACAAAAATTTTTAAAATTTACACTTATTGGAAGTTATTTAGGTCTAAGAGAAAAAATAATTCATCGTTTGAATTTCTTTAAATTACAAAATTAATTATTAACAAATTTTTGAAGATGAATGAAAAACATTTAAACTACTTTTTTTAGATTTCATATTTTGGAATATAATCTAACAGATTCTTAGTAACTATTAGACGACTTTTTATAGTTGAAAAATATTAAAATATATTTTTGCTTGTAATTAGAGAGTCAAAAAAATATGAAAGGGATATTAATTGAGGATAGAATATGAATTTCAGATGCATACACTAAATCACAAAAGTTAGTTGTACGCTGTATCAGTACAAAACCACTAAATGACAAGACAACATTGGACAAATCCACAGACAGAACAAAGCCACGATCCAAGTGTTACGAAACAACTTGTTATGAAAATATTTTAAATCAATCTATCAAGATACCGGTATGTCTAGGTTCATTTGAATTCACTACTCATTTTACATATTACATTTTGTAATTTATTCTGTATTTATTTAATAATTTATTTATTTTTTGCTTTTTATTTTATATTTTTTGCTTGGTATGTTTTATTTCGTATTTTTTACTTAATTTGTTCCATTTTCGTCACAATTGTTTTTGTGTTCCTCACACTATTGTATTGATATATTTTGATTTGACCATATTAATACAACATTAGAAAGCACTCCTTTTTGCGAAATAATCGTGTTAGCTGATGACGAAATTACATCTTTTTATTATTTTGCTTTCCGACTTTTTCATTTTTTTAACAAAAGTCTAATACCGTCTAATTTTTTAAAATATTTTATTCTTCTTCTTCTCTTTTCATAAAACTTTATTACATTTTTTACAATTTTATATATATATATTAATTTTCCAAG